GGATATAATGCAGTATATTATTTAATTTCATGACCATTGATTGTACTTTGTGTATTAAAATTTTGCTAAATGTATATCAAAAATTCCAAAGCAAAACTAAAATGAAATAATAATTGAAAGTTTAAACATAATATTTAAGATTATAAATTATACTTTTGTCAAGTTAACGTATGTTCATTGTTATTTTAATTTAAGTAGGTATATGATTTTATTATTTAAAGAGGTACATGTTTGTGTTTAAAGCAGTAAGTTCCTATGTATTTTTTTTTTATTTTACGATAGTAATAATAATTACCTAGTCCAAACATAATTTCATGTCATATTGCTGTTAAAAACTATATCCAAAAAAAAATCTAAAATTAACTTAATGTAGGTAATACATTATATTATATAATATTATAGCTAGGTATATAATATAATAAATGTTCGTGTACCTACCTACCTATAGAATGCACAAAATATTAACAATCAATTATATTATATTACAATATATATTAACAGATAGTGATGTAAGATTGATTTTAATCGAACTTTACTTCTTTCCTGTTTAAATATTCTATTGTAATTTAGTTATCACTCTGATGATTTTAGTCAATAGAGTATAGACCGTAAGTAATATTAACATTTAACATACTGTATATTAGCTATATATACCTAGTTGTACTATGTTTATAAGAAAAGAACAAATGCTGAGATGATACTTTAAAATCTCGGATGTGGTAATTCCCAATACAGCTAAATTATTATTTGGATATAGTTTTTAGTGTAGGTAGTTGACATACGCGACCCACTGCCACTGTACATTAGTATACCTGTACTATTTATTATTATTCATGGTTCAGCAGTAATGGTTAGGTAAAAATTAAAAACACTTTTAAGTTATAAAATAAGAAATTTTTTTTTATTTAGCTTTCAACCTAAAAGTTATTACATGTCGACAATTATTAAGATAACAATAGGTATTACATAACATAATAATCAAAGTATCAAACATACATTAGGTAGATTATAAAATAATAAATGTGTGGTCTCAAAATATAAATAAAATAACAAATATCGCAATTAATAATGGAATTATAGAAGTATAATAATGATAACCGATCATAGAACAGTGTTGCGCAGAGTTGGTGTATTTTTTCATTATTGATAAAAAAAACAAAACATTATCCACTTGGATTTTACACTGTTTTAAACATATTATGATCTATTCGTTTTAAACAATTAACAAAACGTTAAAAACGAATGTTTTAAATTTATGTTTTAAACATGTATAAATCAAGTTTTTTAAACGTAACAACCCTGGTCGTTGGTCGTACGACACTATATTACAAAATATTAAATAAGTACCTCCCTAGTCCTTACAATATGGTGACACAGGTCACAGCTTCTGCGAATGTTTTAATTCTAAGCTGGGTATGTGTATCTGATATACCTTTGTTTGACGGCACCTTAAAAGACGTTTTTTTTTGGTTTGAACTGTTAGAAAGAGCTTAATTAACCAAACAAAACTATAGAATATAAAACAGAAATATACATTAAAAATGTAATGGTGATTATTACTGATTAATATAAATATTCGCGTGTACGTTCAGTTTGAATATAGTTTTGTTTAATAAAATATAATAACCATTATAGTGAACAAATTGTATACCTAATAACATTATTGCTTTGGTATTATTGCTTTTCACTCAAAATCTTTGAGCATTTAAGTTGTATGTTTGGATTTGCATTAAGAACGTGGAAAATTAACCTTTAATTTATTTATTAGGTACTTACGAACTTAATAAATTAAAAATAAACATTTTAAATATGTATAGGTACCTACCTGGCTACCTAGACACCTAGTTAGGTACCTATAATAAATGGGTAGGTCGTACATAAAATAATGAATATTATAAGTGTAGGAAAACGGTTTTATAAAATATGTATATACAATAAACTATTATGTAGGAACATGGCAAAAATATATTACCTACCTATTTATTAATTACGATTGGTACCTAAATATATGATCATAAAAAAAAAAATGTATTTGGTCCCCTGTTTATAGTCGTCTCTAATAGGTCCTTAAGTACTTTATTGGGGTAGAATGTATATTTTATAGTGATATGCATATGCGGCCATATTATATAGGTACCTACCAGCTTCTACCAATGGCGCTACCTACTGTTTCTATAAACCTAAATCATCAATATTATCAATTTGCTTAAAATCAAAATATAGTTATCCATTGTTAATTCAACTTAGGTAATTGTTATTTGTTATTAATAGTTATTAGTTATTAGCTTATAATTGAAATGTTATGAGAGGTATTTGTGCCGCATAATTAATAATCTTTTGATATCAATAATTCGTTTTAATTAATTAACCACAAACAATTCAAAATGTAATAATATCATATATTTATATCTTATCCACGTACGCAAAAATGTACAACTTAAATATAGTTGCTTAATAAAAAAAATATCTATTTTAAAATCAATATTAAATATGCAAGAAATAAAATATGTACCTATATATACTTATAGCTTTAAATTTTAATAATATGGAAACAACCACCCACAGTCTGTAAATAAATAATACCCACAACCCACTTCAAGGATACTTAGGTACCTACTTTTTTTAGGCCTCCAAACTATGATAAATTATGCATTTAATAATTTCCATATAGAATCATGAGAAAATTCACAAATAATTTAGCTTGATTAAAACATATTATATTATAATATAATAACAAAAATACCTATTGTATAGGCACACTAATTGTGAAAAACATGGTCGAACAAAATTATGTTACATTTGGAATTTGATTAGGTACTTACAATACGTCTATACATAAACCTACCAACTAAGAAATAAATATTTTTAACGGATCTCAATTATAAATTAGGTACCTACCTATATGTAGGTAGGTAACTGGTAATATAGTGGTGGACTGGTAGGTATACCTACCATGGACAATTGTTTATTTTTTGTTATAGGAGTGTTAATATAGTAGGTAATTACATAAGTAGGTACATTTGAACAATTTTAGGTACTGAACAAGGGAATAAATGAGTAGTTTTCTTCTAGACCATAACTATAGATGACTAATACCAAGCACGTATCCAGGATCAATTTTCGGGGGGGGGGTTTAAAATATTTCAAAGACGTATGTAGTTAGTTTTTGTTACCTATATTATAAATATATACCTACTTTAAAAATTTCGGGGGGGGGGGGGGGTTGAACCCCTAAACCCCCCCCCCTGTATACGGGCCTGACTAATACCAAAACGCAAGTACTTACAGTAGACAAATAATCAGCTTGTCTTTGACATACAATTTAGAACCCGGCCAAATCGTCTCCTATCTATATTACTATATTCTTAGTAATTGTCTATATCCTTCCAATCCATGTACAGAGTTTACTGTCATATATTTGTTTTCTCTTGGCAAATGATTGTAAATGTTATATTTTGGGAAATAAAAAAAAAATTAAAACTAACTTGACTATAGTTAGTACCTATGATTATAATATGGAAAATCCATGGAAAAATATTTCTATAATATGCACCCTAGTATAACCCTAACTCTTTTAATATGAACGCCTAACACCCACTCCATTAAAATATAGCTTGCAATTGATTCCGTGACCTATTATATTATAATGTTATATTATGCATACCATTTTAGTTTGTAAAAACTAAAAATCAATAGCTACTTAATATTCCTAGAAATTAATTATTCTTACGTAGAGGTACCTATATATTATAATAAAAAACAACAAATGAGCCGTAAAAAAAAATGTAAGGTAGGAGTGTAGATGACAGCTGTGCAGATAAATTAAAACTATAATTAGTACATTTAGGTATAAATTATAATGTTTTCCTAAATAACTATAAATTGATATTACCTATGTTAAAATGATTTAGTCACTATAATAATAATAATAACATTTTTAATTGTTATTTATTATAGAATATAACAAATTCAACTATATTAAAATTAACTAAATGAGTGGACTGTAGACATTTAGAAAGGTCATCAATTATAAAAATCAAGTATTAAAAAAAATTGGAGAAGTCATTCGCAGCTGTATCTACTACAGTACTACCTATAGTAGGTTTCGAATGTACCTCTTCATTAAGTACCTACCTACAGAAGTTGGTACCTAGTCTTTAATGTATGTGTTAAATTTGAATTCTATGATAAAGCATTGAAAAAAGATTCTGAGAGGAGAAGTGTCTAAGATAAGTAAATATTTCTAAGGATAGTTTTTAATTACAGCATTATTAGCATTTATATTACAATGCAGTGGCGTATTTTGAAATTTTTTGTGGGGGGGGTCTAAATATTAGGTACCTACAAGTTTATAATATAAAAAAAACACATACGAGTTACGATGTAATAATTATATTATATTATATAGGCGCTACCCATACATTATATTTTGTTGTCTCCGCCTTACACGTTATACATAGGTACCTACGGCATATCAAATTTTCATTTAATTATTTCAAAAGTGTGCTCTAATATTTGTAATTAGAGTGAATTGACCTATCATCAAACTTATAGGTTTATACCCCATAGCCTCCCCCTGAGCATGCCAATGTAGGTATCTACATGGCTACATGATAAAATTGACAACCTCTGAAATAGTATCTAAAGGTAGGTAATGGGTATATTATAACATATTAATTAGGTATTGTGTTCGAAAATTGGTTGAGAATTTGTTAAAAACTTACAAATGTAAATTGTAGTTACTTCACAGATAAATATTTTATTTCAAGTTATTCTGCTGTTTTGCGCAATTCTCTCAACCATCTATGTTTAATATTCAATCTATAGGTAGGTACCGATGCTGAAAGGAACTTTTTTATAATTTAGAAGTTGGTTTTATTCGTAATGTTATTTCTTATTTAAAATACCTACTGATACCATTACATTTTGAAATATGAAAAAGAAAACTGAATAATTAAATATATACATTTAAATATTACAATCATGCAAATGTTTTCAGAATGATTACTTTTGGACAACATTTTGCCATATCATTGGCTACTCAACAGCACAAGAATAAAAATGAACAGGAACACCAACAAGATTATCAAAATCTAAAAGATACAGCGCCAGGCGGAGTTAATATTCTATTGGGAGGGTAATAATAATAAAATATATATTTGAATTACAAATACATACATGCCTATATAGTATTGATTGAATTTACAATATGCACACAACCACAAACCACTATGCACCTCAGAAGCAGTACATACCATACCAAAACAAACATTTGAGTCGTATTGCTAATGTTTTAAAACATCATTTTTACGGTATATAATATTGTATATAATTAAATACCTATCTTTTAAATAACTAAAACATATTTACATTTTATATATTAGAGGAAAATGCATTAAAATAATTGGAATTCACCACATGCATTTTAATACCCTATTACTATGAATATAATCATTAAATATATTTTTTTAATAATAGGGTTATGATGAGTAGCATGATATTATTTATTTTATGGATGTGTTATTGTTGTCGATGGAAAGATAACAAGTTTGATACAACGACATGTGATGAACAACCACAACCTTTTTGGATTGATGTTAATTCAAACACTTACTATGAAGCACTACAATGGTCTTTACAACAAGTAATAAACATTAATTCATTATTAATACAAAAAAAAAAAACAGAAATAATATTTTTTAGCCTCCCCATACAAACAGGTTAGTTTAGGTTAGGTTATATTTTATGTGTTTGATCAGTTTAGACTAATGGTTTAAAGATAATTTTCACATAAGTTAGTGTTAATTAATGAAATAATAAATACAACATAGAAAATAGTTTTTGAACGAACACAGTGAAATAAATACATTATGTTAACGTCTTATCTATACCACTAAATCATATTGTCTATAAAAGTACTATAAAGTGTATAAACCATAAAACTTTATAAAACAATTTGTTATAGGAATGTTGTGAAATACCAGAAGCATATTGTTCACCAGAGACCATGCAGGAAACACCACCAAGATACGAAACCGTAATCACACCACCACCTGGATATGAGGATGTGATGAGAGAAAATTACAAAAAGAAAAAATCTTTAATGGATGTCACAGAAAATAATAGGATGCATACCATTTGACCACAGTTGTTTAAAGCTTATATGTATCCACATATATACTTGCATTAAATTAATTACACTAGGAATTACAGGGAGTAGAAAATTAATACAGATCTGTTCATGTTTTGTACAATTTTACTTTGTTTTTTGTAAAAATATATTATACATTTTACTTATAAATTATAGTTATTAGACAAAATTTGGTATGATGTGTTTTAGTATAAAAAAATACCAATAACAATTTGTTTTTTTTTTCCAGTTATCATATAATCTAGAGTTTAGAATTCTTCATATTAAATTGTTTGGTATAAAATTGTATTAATCAAGCATTAGACGTGCTTCTTTTCCATTGATCATACGTTTCATACCATGTTTTAGAGCAAACTCTCGCTTGATGTATGCAAACAATAAATCAGTGATCAGGAATATCTAGAAAAATATACAAACCATAATTTTGATAAACATTTTAATATCATAATACATTCATCTTTAATTAACAATTATAATCATAAATCATTGATAAAACATATCAAAATAATGTGAATCAAATTCATTTTTCTTTTGAACCAAATTTAAAATAGAGTAAAAACATTTTTAATTCTTACTTGAGTTGTGGCAAAAGCAAGAGTAACTCCAAAATAGAAATTTGCATTTGCTGAACGTGAATAAATCCACAAATGCCACACAGTAGGGGCAAAAACGGTACAACCCACGAAGAAACACGATACAATAAATGCTTGTTGCATAACTAAAAATTAATAAAAAACAATTTAAAATAATATTTTTTTTATTTAAGCTTATTAGTAATATTAGACATTAGTTACTAAGTTGACATACAGTAGAATAGATGTCTATGAATTGGAAGAAGACTGAGGTAAAATCCAACATCTCCTATGCTTGGATATGACTTAAAAACTGCTGTTAATGTTAATAAACTGGTGGCTAATAACAATGGGTCCCGGCGGAGACGTATACTTAATGGAACCACATATAGAACAGATGCATTTAATTGAAAAGCGCAGACAAATAATGCACGGAAATGTTCAAACATCTCAGTAAAGAAATACCAAAACAAACCAATATTTGGTTTTAAATCACGTACATTTAATCTGAAAAATAAATTATTACATCAATACTTCAGAAACATAAATTAGAGTAACATGAAAATGTAGTATGTACATAAAACCATAAACAGAATCTAGGAATGTCCATTCATTCATAATGGTATAGCATAAGTACAGAAGCGAGCAGCTAATGGTAGCACAAGTTAAAAATGTAATTATGAATGAACCAGTCTTTTTCTTAGAGTCCATCGGTGCACAACTTATCATTAACGGGGCTAGTAGACCAAATGTGTAAAAAGTTGGCAATGATGCTAATACTAAGCTCAGACATCCCAATAGTCTATGCCCTACAACAAAAATACATATTCATTATTTAATATTAAATAGTGTTATTTAGTAGCACTATTTATGGGTTTTATAAAAGTCAAAATAATAATTATTTCAAAGTTTTAAAACTTACGTTTTACCATGGAATATAAACATAGTGCTAAAAATAGGTTGTTGAACACTGTTGTTGTTCTTGCAATACAACTAAACACTGTATATGGGTTAAGCATGTAAACTGAACATACATAAAACGGATTTATGACTGAAAAGTCATCTGGTATCAATAATTTATTAAATTCTTTATTGTAGACATGTTTTGTTTTTGTTTGCTGTTTAAGCTAAAATAGTGTTAAAATAAAAAAATATGTAAGTACTACAAGTATTCACAGTACAAATAAAAATAATATTACGAATTTCACATACCAAATTTTCAGTGTAAATTTTAGATGTATAATACAACACAAAAGCAGTTATGAGATCGCACACAATAAATACTAATGATACATAAAAATCTGAAAAAGTCGATGTCAAGTGACTGAAAAATACAAGAGCCAATGGAGTTTCGTGAAATAAATCCCCATCATATGGATTGATATTCTCATTGTATAAAGATACACCTTCAATAACTAAAAAAAAAAATTTAATTAGATTACCTAGGTTAATTAAGTGGCAGTAAAAATATTTGTATTTAAGTATTCAGTAGGAATAATTAGTTTATAGTATAGTAAGTGCTCGACTTGGGGGTGCACAGGGGGAACAAAGTACTCCAACTAATTTTTCAGAAATTTTAGCGTATCCCTACTATTATTTTTAAGGGGAAAGCACGGGACTCTTTACCATTCTGCATTTTTATCAAAATGTGCTAGATACCATCATAATTTGTCTTATGGATTATTTAATAGGTAATAACTAAGTTTTAGTAAACTATTAATTCATTTACTTTTATAATCTTTTTGAGTTTGTTATTATTTATAACTATAATTTATATAATAGGTACCTACAGTAATTGCCTATGTCTTATATTAACTTGTATTTTTTTTTATTGATTATTTATATATATTTTTTATATGTTTTAAAAAGGGTTATTAGAGGGTGTGGGGGCATTGCTCCCGCGGCTCAATAAAGTTTAACAAGTAATGGGGGTGCTCTTTTTTAAATAGTAAACAGAGTCCCCCTACTTTAATTTTGCCAAGTCGAACACTGAGTATAGTATAGTAAAATAGAAGTCTATTATGGGTTTTTATTTTTGTGTGTTAGCATAGCAATACAAGTAGGTGTATTGCCCGATGTAAATGTGAGTTGTTCTTTCTCTTGTACCTATGTTTTATTGTGAATGAAAAATGGCAACAACCAATTACCTTAGAATACTTATTTTGGCCGGTGCCTTGTAAAAAAAAAAAGAAGAAGAAGTCTAGATATCCATATCGGTTCAATCGTACATAATATATAAAATATATAATATTCTTATTTTGGAGACAAGAGATTTGGATTATCATAAAATACATACAAAGTTACTGAACATAAGATTTAATAATAACAATGAAATGATCAAATAGCAAAGAATTTTTATTGCACAAAATATAATATAAGATGAACTTTGAAAATCAAGTCATTCAAATAGTTTAAAAGGTACCTGCATGCAATAATGATCATTTTATGGTAGGTAGATATTGTGACATGCAATAATAAATACTTGCAATAATCATTATAATACCGGCGTTGAATAGACATTATTTAAATGGTCACACCCTAGTTTTATTCTTATAGCTGTAGTGTAGGTACAGAATATAATCATCTAACGAGAACATACAATATACTAATTAGTAATAAGGTACTAATAGATGAACTATTGTAATTATAATGAACAGTGATTTATTCAAACCTCTTTTCCAAGAGTTCAATGGTGTTGACACTTCAACCCGATCTGCAATGGAAGTGCTGAAATTGCTGAAGCTCAAATAGATCCTAATAAGGATTCCAATAGAATACACGAAAAATAGTAATTTTTCCATATATGACCGATTGACGGTTAAACTATTAATCTAAATGCTATGATGTTGTAAACATATTCAATTTAAAATTGATTGTGTATGTAAGACGACGATACATTTTTAAATATTTTAAAAGAAAACGGATATTCGATTGATACTTAGTAGATACTTGATAGCGTAAAATCGTTAAAGTGTACTAAATTAATAATTTTGGGCACGAATTACAAGTTACTAATCAATGCACTAATGTAGTTAACTAGTAATACTAATACATGATGTTGAGTGTTGACTGTCGAGAATCATCGGCATTCGGTACTAAAAGTTGGTAAGCCGAAAAGTGATAAACTGAAAAGCTTCTTGATAAGCGTTTCGGAAGTTCATCCATGTTCATACCAACTTAGTTTCCTGTATTGTAATGACTGCAACACTGATTCTCCAAGCGGAGTGTCCATGAACGGCATGAACCACGATTAAAGATATATCTCAGATATTATATATCTTTAATCGTGCCATGAACTAATAAACCTGAAAATAGAATATTGCACAGATTATCTGTGGAATATTGTGTAGGACCGGTACAGGTTATAAAGTTAAAAACATGATATAAATATAACGTGTTATTATATATCTGTGGTTATTATTTATATTATCATGGTTTTAAAAAAAAACAATTAATTTAGTTACACCCATGCAGTGATGTATTCGTAATTTTTTGTTGGGTATATTATGCTCATTAGGTACGTAGACGTATTATATGAAACAGAAAAAAAATTATATTCATAAACTTGTGATATTATTTATCATAATATATAAATAGGTAGGTATATTATAATAATTAATAATATAATATTATAATGTGTAAATGTGTTACGTGCAAATGTTAATGTCAGGCAAACCTCAAATATTGCCGGCAAAACGCGATGTGCGAAACTGCGAACTGCCACAGAATAAAAGAACTGCTCAACTGACAACTGCCCACAGTATGCGCCATGCGGTACTTGAGCTGAGTTGAGCTAAATGTAATATTTCGGCTTTTGCCCATACAGACCTAGTTGTGAAAACAGACAACACCATTTGGGCAAAACCGTAGCGACTAACAGACAACAGTTATAAAAATACTAAATGGTTGGATTTTATTATGATTATTGTTTATTTTTTATCGTACTTATTATCGCGATAAATTGTACATACCTACCTACTAAACCTAACCTATAACATATAGGTATAGTTATAATAGGATATTATACCTTTTTTTTTTTAAATTTTAAATTGACGATTGGGGCCGGGGCACTGACACTAGTCATTTCACCCCCATACCGCATACAGTTTATAGGTACCTAATCGTCGTAATTGGTGTACCTATTGCTGGGTGGATAACTATTAATATAATTGTACTGTAGTTGGTATTTTACTGTTTTTTTTTAGTACTTCTTTAGGCTTTACAGCTTTAGCAATGACTAACAAAATGTCCGATTTTCAATACTAAATTAAATTTCAAAAATTAAATGTAGCCATTGTGGATGGAGATGTAGGACAAAAATCTCAGGTCCTCGCAAATAAACGCCGTATGTGGACAATATTGGTTCCTGTCATAAATGTATACACGGACAATATTGCATATAGATATACCCTAACCTAATATAGCAAAAAATTAACAATCCCACCAAATAAAATCAATGACAACATTAAAGATTTTGTAAAATGCAGTGGAATGTTATTTCAAGTATTTTTTTTATTGTTATTTATATTTAATATTAAAAAAAAATATTGTTTTGTGATATATTCAAAATTTGATATACATTGCAGATACAAATTGATACATTTAATTTATAGACGCTATACAGTTTTGCCCAAATGATGTTGGCAATTATGGATTTGTCATGTCAAAAGCCAAAATACGAATTTTGTCTAGGCGTTTCTGGATCTGGGTTTGACGGACTTCGATTTTTACCCGTTAAATGTATACAGGTAATTCTCTGAGCATGCTCACCCCCATTTTTTCTTTTAAGAATATATGATTTAATATGAATATAGGTATATTAAGATGATGATTTTTGTAATTTTTAAGTAGGTACCAATACTTAGAGGCTAGAGCTATACATATAATATATTTCCTATTATTTAGATTTTTTCATACTACTAAAAGAGTGTCCTCTACAAACTTTTTTTCAATTCAGTGCCAAACTTGCTTACTGCAAATTATTAAGTTGAAAAGAACAAGGTTTACACTACCGTAGAGTACTTATAATTATTTTAATAATATGTTGATAAGTATCATGGCGTACCCTTTTGCAAAGTGTGTAAACACCAATAATAGCCCAAAATCTGAACTGAGTGGTCGTTGCAGAAAGGTCTATCAAATCTACTAAATATTTTAAAAATTAAAATAAAATGTAATAAATTGTGAAATATTTGTATTTTTACTTATATTTATTTTACGTCAAAAAAAATTACATGATATAATATAATAAACATTAGATTAAACACAAATAAGGTAAAATAATTTAAAAGAACCTATAATATTATTTTTAGGTAGGTACCTATTTAAGAAAATGGTTTTTTCTATTCTTAAAACAGCATAATATAGCGACGATATGTATAAGTATTCCGGTACAAAGTAATAATATAGTTTTTTTTTAATGACAATATACGATACAAAATGAGCGCTTAAAACTAAAATCGATTTTGTGATTCATTTACTCTATTCACTCTTACAATACGTTCTTTACGGCTTTTAGAATGGGATACTTATTAGCGTCGCACAGACCTCTGGCATCGTCCAAGGACAGATCCATTAAAGCTATACCTCCCAAATTATTTTGCTTCACATACGTAGCTTTTTGTTTGGCAGTTTCTGGTTCCTCGAAACTGATCCAAATTCCTTTTACGTCGTCTTTGGGCAAACGGAAAGCATAAGTTCCGAGATTTTTGCTCGGGTCCGGTACACGTCTACAAAAATTTAAAACGATACGCAAATTATAACACACGGAAAATTGTATTTTCTCTACTAAAATATAGAAATTTGCAATGAATTATGAAATAATATTTTTTTCCACTAAATCGCTGAACCTATATGTATAACTTTAAATACCTAGGTACCTATATCAATTTATAATTCTATATTGTTTGTTTTGTATATATAGATACCTTTAGTCAGTGGAGTAGCTATAATTTGGTTTTAGAGGAGAACTGATAATTTGCTAAATAGGTGAGGCTTAACTATAGGATTCTTCATAGTAAGTTTAGTATGCTGATAGGTAAGTACAAATCATTTTAGACTTGCTACAACCTTCATACAAAGTACGATTTAAATACGTATTACGTTATATGTTCACAGAACACTGGAAGAATTTTAAAATTTTTCTAAAATTTTGGGTAAGAGTTGTAGCCCCCTCAACTGGCTCAACCCCTAGTTATATAATAATATAGTAAAATATACACTTATATATGTAGACATGTAGTTTAGTAGTTATAAAAATTGTATTGTGATGCTGCAGATATTACTACATGTCTACATGAAATAATATCCTTAATAATCCATTGTTCATTGTTAACGGAAATAGCATGTACCTATTGCTGACTATAATTACCTGTACTTACTGATTAAAGGTATAATTTTATGTGTACTTTGATACTTTCTGTATCACTTTAAGTGATTGGATTGGATTGAAAAGAAAACCGCCGTAAGGTATATTATACTATATAGTAAATAATATTATGTACACACCACACAAGTACCTATTGTTCTATTACGTAGGTATAGATACCACTTTTTATAACAATTTAGATTATCATGATACTCATATTATTCTTGATAAAAACTTAAAAGATATAAAATTAAGATAATAAGTATTATTAACTATTGTAAGCTAATGCATAATCATAATTTATGAGTGAGTGTCTGTAATATATAATAATCTGCTGTAGGATATGTAATGCACGTAACACGTTTTAATATAAAATATTATTGAATACAGAACATGATTAACAATATATAACAGCAATCGACATTTTTACCCATACAATGAACAGTTTTCTATATTATGCCGATATCGATTACTCTAAGTTTAATATTGTACTCGTGTATAATAACATATTTTAATATTTACATATACATGAAACTGATTGAAGTACAGTACCTGCAGGCAACAGTATAGCCAGGGAGAACATTTAAAACCGCCAATATAATATTTAATAGACAGTAGGGACCTAATATATTTACTCATAGGTTTATGTGTATTTATTAATGTATTATGCTATAAATATTGTGCGTACAAAATTCCTTTTGAGTTAACTTATATACAGGACGATATTTAACAAACAAAACACCAACGTTAAACCTGCAGCAGTCAATATAATATTATGTGTGTTTAAATAATTTTAAGTAGGCACTTTTGCAAATATTTAACCAAACACGAACATACACGATGCTTATCGCATGTTCTACCTTAAAATGATCGCTTTATATTTAAAGTATATAAATTAAAATGTTAAATAATAATTTATGTATTTATATAGTCAAACTATTATCATATGCGGAAATATAGTGAAATTACTTGGGGGGGGGGGGCGTTGGGCTGAGCATTATATTATGCTAATTACAAGTATAGGTACTACTGTCCTAGAGCAGCTTGCAATTATTATTTTTTTATGCATAATTATAAAATGTGAATAGCTTAACAATGCGATATGAGGCGAAAAACAAAAATACTTAAAATTCGTCGATTATAGCGACTACCTATTTTGAAGATACTGACAGTAAAAACCTTTATAAAAAATAATTAGTTAAAAAATATAATATTATCAGAGAGAGTCACGTTGTATACTAGATACCTACATGATTTCAAATATCGATGCATGTGAAAGTTGTAGGTATTATTGTATATTTGTATGTGTATTAAGTATTAAGTACCTGTAAAGGGTGAGAGATGTGGTGGCCGCAGTGCTCTCGACCAGGTGAGGGCAAATCTCGTAGTAGGCCAGTAGACCTTCTGTCTTAGTATAGGTGCCCTCTTCTCCGGGACCGTCGGCAGTGACGGGTGCAGCGCCGGACTTACCACTGTCCTTGTCCATCTTCCAGGTCCGGCCATAAGTAGAGATACCCAACACCAACTTACTGCGGTCGGCTTTCAGGGCGACAGCTTTATTGACCTGCGATTCGATGTTCTGCCAAGCCAGGCGGTCGGCGTACACGAACTTGAAGGGCGCCGCGTGATCGGCTAGTTTGGGCACTCGGTCCGGAGTCCGGAAGTCGTATGTCAACAGCGTGAAGTGGTCCACATACTTTTGCAGCCCCGGGAAATCGAAATACACTGTCGGGTAAACAGAAGAATGAGAATATAACAAAAGGATAAGACGATGGTTTCTTTAATATATCATACATGTTTTATGTATATTGTACCTACCTATAGGAATATAAATATAAAACATATATTATACAGGGTATAGGTACATATTTTTTAACTCATTATATAGAGTGGTAAGTCCGGTGAGACGCCGTCCGACGGTCCAGGGAAGAAGATATCACTATTATACTATAAGACCAACGTGACTAAGATCTTATAAGTTATAATATATAAGCCATTCTAAGGTCTGTTGGCCTCCTACGATATATATACTTAGGGTTATCATTAGGGACGTGAGTGTATTTCAAACAAAAGTGTAGGGTTTTTTAACTTATTATAAATGGTAATTTTTTTAACAGAAAGTAATAGCCTAACAATGAATTCAATTTTAAAACTTTCATTTTTCATTTTCTGATTTTTAAGTAATTTTTGGCGTTTTTATGGGTAGTATGCAGGTATGCTTTTCGGTGAGCACTATTATACGACATTGATACGTCTTACAATGATTGATTGGTATAATGGTCTGTCAACGAGACAATATCGATAAAAATGTAATATTCTTATTATATCGCAACATAGGCCATTGGATGTGGGGTTTTAGGTTGGGTAGGTTGGTACACGTGCGTGTTGTGTTTTGGCAGAATTTCTAATGGGACACCCGTAGGTTTCTGCCATGCCCTGGGTGGGGGATGGCGGCACGTCTTGTTCTCCGGACAAGAAAATTCCACCCGCGCCCGAGGTATCCAACTGCTCGGCCACTCCGTCCCCTATGGCCTATATCACGATATTTTATACAGCGTATGCGATAATAATATCATATTATAAACATTACATTTATTATTATTTTTTAATGATTTATTGGATATTTAAATTTGTATTATATGTTAATACGCTAAATAATTATTATATTATATTTTATTGACATAGTTGGGGACCTCATAACATACATAATTATTGTAATATGAATATATATGATATATTAAAGTAATAGATTTAAAAAAATACACATTAACTATTTAGTATTACTGTATTAGATCATAGTTATTGTTTAAATAAAAACAAATAGTTTATCTACAATAGATATAAATTAATAATATAGATAGTAATGATTTGGACCAACATAAAACATTTTTTGAGAACTTTAGGTATTTAGTCATAGGGACCGGTGGATGGGTAAGACAAATATTTAATACTTATAGTTATAAATATTTATAGATAATACGTAATATATAGTTAGGTGTTTATGGTTACCAGAAGAGTTTACGTGTGGAAGAACGCTGACCGAAAGATAAGGACAATTATTTGCGTTCAATACTCCTTTGACTTCGCGGACCAGTGCGGTGAACTGTTCCTTGTGTTCAGCTTCCTTAGAGTCCTTGCTAGTGATACCCACTGTCTTAGCCACTTTGTGGATAAAAGAACCTTGAAAACGATAATATTATATAATATATTAGGTACAAATATGCAATAAACAAACAATAATATAACTACACATTACACATTTTTGGTGGCATTACAACAATTGGCAGTTGGCAGTGACCAAATTACCAATATATAATATGTGTAATATTGTGTATTTTATACAAAATTGAACTATTCCAATATATAATACTTATTAAACTATACAGATTTATATTATTATTAACTATGTAGCTTACCCCACGTGTTTTTTTCCTTTTTTTCAGTGACTACTGGGAATTGCCAGGCCAAATCTATGCCGTCGAAACCGTTCTCCTTAGCCATCGCCGAAATGGTGGACGCAAACTGTGTTCTTGATTTCGGCGTCTCCAACTATACCCATTCAATACATATTTTAGATTCCGAGCAAAGTAATGAAAGATAATATTATAGTATAAAAAATCCAAACATTTTAACCATTCAATATTTAGCAATAAAAAATGTAATACTTGATACGTTAAATAGGTAATTTTTCGATTTTTTTCAATAGTATTATTATCTCAGTGAGCAAAAAAATCATCCAAAACACTACCATACATTTCAGCTAAGTTTTGAAATACCATTGTTTTTTAAACATAATACGCCTAGATTTTTTAATTATTAAAGTGTAGGTATACCTCCAGTTCCAACTCTCCCCACAAGAAGTTTAGGTTTAAACAGTTTCAAGAGGTGGATATGTTTAGATGCCAACCCAATTCGGTATAGGGGCCCCAAACACGATTTTATGTACACAAATTTGATACGCAAATACTAAATTATTAATAGATAAACAATTTGTACCTTTCAATCTAACCTAAGCTTCAAATTTATATTCTGCACGTCATGGAGTTTAATAATATAGGTACTATATAGGTATGTAGTAACAGTAAATACTCACAGCGGTAAGATATTTGTCAGGATCTTCGACATCGGCATTGCCACCGACTGACAACAGTATTGTAAGACTGGGGTAAATCTTCTTCAAAGCTGTTATGGACTTAAAGTTTCCCTTTCCACCCTTAACATCTTTGCTCTCGGGCAAGTCCAACTTTGGATCCAACGATTTCGCTTTAAACTTGTCATCGTCGATACCAGCGTAACCGTACACTAAATGCGTACAATAACTTAAGGCGGGTTTTAGCTCCTCGGCGCCTACTTTAACCACATCTGAAAACAAAAAATTGATTCAGTTGATAACGGTTTTAATTTGTAGTATAAAACACGGTTATGTGAATATTGGTTGGTTTAACGACTTCAACGCATTTAATTAAAATTCTTCCAATTACGAAAAATAAACCTGTTGGCAAATATTCTTAGCACATGGTAATAGTTTATATTTAACAGAAAAAATATCAAGTTAAAATAAGTTCATAAATCAAAATAATTATTTTACGATAGATTAATCTATACATTTTATTACTGTAATTTAATATGGTGTTTATTTAATATATACTATAGATAACAATGATAATACTTTTAACGTTAATGCTGTTTATTTTTATATACCTACAGACGCTTAAAGAAATTAAATTATTATTTTAAACTTTGATATCATTTTAAATAATTCTCTAAAAATACTAATTAAGAAAAATTTACGATTAGCCTGTTGTAATATGTATGCAAATGTATTTTAATTGAGTTTATTATATTATATAGTCGGTAGTAACCTATATAAAATAAACAATAGTTGTATGGCAAAATAATCATAATAAATAAATACCTGACTAGTGCCAATATAGATTATTTTGAAATGTTGTTTCGAAATAATTATAATCTTATTTGTGTTCATAATCAGTAACAAATAAAAATAATTGCTACTAATAAATATTAACTAGTTTCTGAGACTCTCGAGAGTTCCAAGTATCAACGTAGTTACACATTTTACAAAAACTACCAACATATTTACATAAATAATATCTTGACTAAAATAAAATTGAACTATTAATTATTTAAAAACTATTCGATTTTTTTTGTTTTTCTCTTTAGAATGTCAATTAATAAAAACAATTTGCTAAGAAGTTACTAAAATAACAATATTTAATTTAAGCCACCTAAAATGTAATTACTTTAGTAAATTACATTTGACGATTTAATATTACTTAAATAGGTGCCGGTTATTAATGTAGGTTGTAGGTAATAACATATAAATCATAATAATAGCGGATTAAATTATATTACGTACAGTAAAACAACTTCAATAACTAATTACAGTTAATTCAAGAAATTATCTTAACTCCATGGAATAGATTTAAGCTGTACAAACAGTTCACTAATATATAATATTTATGTTATAGGTACTTACTAGTTACTTATGTATTTTAGGTCATTTTATCTGTTATTACCGGAAAAATAATATTAATTTATTAATATTTCATTGAGTCAAGTTGTATAATGTATAATATTGTGAGATTAATACGACTATTTAAAATAATTAATTGATTATTATTTTTTAAAAAAAATTAAAGATTAACCTATGAATAATATTGTATGTTATAATACCTATATTATGTATATATAGTGCGATTTTATAAAAATAAGAATACATTGTGATGAGAATTTATATTTTATTTTATATGTATATAACAACTTTTATTAAGCGGACTACCCACCGTAGCTATAGCTATTCAATATAACGTATTCATGTATTAAAATATATTATATTATGTACGTATTGCAACATACATATTTTTTTACAATTGAAACCATAAATGCATCCCTGTGGCCTGTACAGTAGTATCTAATAAATAATAATATTTTATCATATTAAAAAAATCTGTGAAAAAGGCGTAAACACAAACATTTTGCCTAATTGTTCAATTTTACATACGCACCTAGATATTATAATACTTATACTTATAGTAAATTTATTCATTTATTTGAGTATACCTTTTCTCCACATAGCTTTGCCATCATAATAGCATACTGTTCTAAATGCTTGCGAAACGTCTACAATGGCTAGAAGGCCACATAGCGCGACCGCACCGAACATCTTTACGCCTAACATCGTACTACCGAAAACCAACTCGCACTGACGACCTGTTTGGTTTGGAGTTTGGAACAAAGGTCCAGTGAGCGATTATTAATTATTGTACGATGACCTACACCTACCTAAGTAATAATGTTATTATATGATCATCGCCCCTACTTGTTTTTCAAACCACAGGCCAAGGTCAAAGTTTAACTAGTTTTTTTCTTCTTCTCGGTACTTTAATGTAGTCTGTAACGTACTGTTATTGTACAATTATAATATATTTATATTCAAAGAGTATAATAAATAAACTCGCAATTTTACTGGCCTTATATCAATCCGACGAGCAAGGCTGAAAATATAATAACCAAACAAAAGGATCCAAACAAGATGATAGACTATATACACAGGATACATAATCACGAATAAACATGCAAATTTAAACAGAGTTGTTTGTCGTTATACTGACTGTGTCTTTTAACCTTTGTTATTAGTATAATATGTTAATATATAATATACATGGTATCTAAAATATTTTTTTTTTTACATCTGACACGTCAAAAAAATTATAATTTATTATATATTTTACACCACACAACGATTGCTTTATAATAAAAATAGTAATATTTCAAGTTTAAAGATAATAAATAATAATTTTGTTCAAAAGCTAATAATACACTTTTTTAACACCCTGTAAACTTATATTTATTGTAAGTCGTGAATGGTTTTATTATTTATGTTTAAATTTTACACTCTATGTTGCATATCTACCGCATTTATATGATTTTAATTTGAAATTATTCCAAACTACCTTCCCGGCTTCCCATACTAACCCATTAGTATCGCAAATCTCATCTACTCAACCCATAAATCCCATCCATAGGCTCAAAAGAAAATTTTTCAGAGATTTGTTAATCTAAAATAAATTCATGTTGGGTTCCATCACTGATTGGCCTCCCTCTTCATATTATTCAAAGTTAAACACGTACATAAATTATCCAATTTACTTATTGTTATGTCAAACACATATTGTAAATATCTAATAATAATAATAAATAAATTTGAAAGTTTGAAATTCCGATATTAGGTAGTTTTAAAGGACATTATAGGTATTATTAACATAAATTAACTTTTTTTTTTTATTGTGAAACTTAAATTACATTCTGCAAGTTATTTAATAATATTTATTATGAGGTTATATATATGTACACGGTACACCTATATCGAAAAAAAACATATCAATGGCAAATAATATATATACATTGATCAATCCCATATAAATAATTTGAAATGTATATAGTAGGTACCTCTGTCAATTAAACAAGCTTAAAATTTATTACACTCCACTATTCCAATCTAGTACCGGATTAAGAGAAACCATATCGTTGAGGCTCATAATTTTGATAGCTTAAAATAAGATCAAGTGGTAATCTGTAATTTATTTTTTTATAGTATAAAAATATTACATTTTAAGACAAACTAAAGAAAAAGAAAATTATAATACTATATATTATATTAATTATATTGGTGTAAAAATAGTATGGTACCTATCAGTACCTACCACCTGGGCATCTGGCCAAACGTGTCGTTACCAATGATATTAAAAATAGTATTAAACATAGATATTTTATGCTGTAATTTAGGACTAAAGACAATTTTTTTGGCTTATCAAAAAAAGTTTCTATAGTGAATCCGACCCTTGCATACGAACAATTCCCCTAGTATACCATCACATTATTAATAGCAATATAAATATTCATTAAAAATATATGCTGAAAAGTTACAAGACTTGGTCTGCTCAAAATTATATTTCATATACAATGATTTACAAGTATTAATTGTTAAGTATTAAACGCATCCATTACAATGACCTATAAAAAAAAATAGATAGATTGGTACTCAATTTGATTGGTATTCAAGGTAGATATACTATTTTTTTTTATCAGGTTTAATCAGTGGCGTGCCCAGAAATTTTCAATGGGGCCGGGGTATGTTATAACTTATAAGTAATACTAAATTTAAATTAATTTTAGTGGAAATACCAAAAACACAAAAGAGGGGCTTTATGTTTCAAGCCATCCAAAATTGTTTCTTGTAGTTGCTTACAATTGTGTACATTTGCCATTTGCAAATTTATCTATAGTTAATATTATAACACACTAATATAGTAATATCAAATTTAGGTCACTGAGTAATGAATATCCATAACATTGCTACATGATAATATTATGAGATTATTTTGTATCTCAATTGCAACTAATTTGTGTTTAGAAGTCAAAAACATGAGATAAAATTAAATAATATGACAGCCTTATGAGCATTATTATATAACATAATATACTAAATAGTAAATATAGGTACATATGTATAATAAAAATGTATCATTAAGATTAAAATTAAAATTATACTTTTGTACTTAATCGATGTTATAACATACAATTTTTAATTGCCAAGGTACTATTCATATTTCATACCATTGATATTCATTCATAAAGTAAAAACTCATGAATATAAGTTACATTTATCAAGAAACCAGATTATAAGGTATAATATTGTGCAATAATTAATGTAATATCTACATACCTACCTACCTAGTGCCATATAGTCACCTATATTTATATTTTATTATGCAAAATATATATTTTTTAATGTACATAGAATTATTAAAAAAAAAAAAATCAAACCAAATTTTTTTATGGTATAGTAAAATATACAGGGTGTCCCGTGAGGATTTACTCATTGCGATATCTCCTGAAATAATAGAGATATCGTAATTCTGTTTTCTTATTAAGACTCACAGAGGTAAGCACTACAAATAACTTATTTTTTATTTTTTTTTTGTTTTGGTAAAAAAGTTAAAAAATTTTTTTTTAATTAATTATTTAAAAAAATATTGAAGATTGCCATTTTGTAGAGTTCATTTTTCTGAAAATATTGACTTTTCAACATTTTAATTTCATTAATTTCCTGATTTTTAATAATTTTTTTAATTAATAAGTAAAACGGCAAAAAACCGGTTTTTGTCCGGGCGACGAGTCCCCATCTACGGCTAATAGGTAAATCCTCACGGGACACCCTGTATATAGTAAAATTAAACAACCAAAATATTTTATAAATTAATTAGTGTTGAAAAGAATTTATTAAAAAACCTAGTTGAGGGAAAAATAATAATTAATATTATCTATTTAATAAATAACAAGTTATTTACTAAATTGTACACTATCCTTGAGCAAATGATGTGTACTTAAGTCTGTCTAAAAATTTTTTAATATTTTTTAATCTTGATCAATAAAATAATTTTAGTTATATATAAAAAAAAAAAAAACATTTTACATGTTATATAACATTATACATTTTAAAGTATAATGTATACATCAATAACCTAATATAAATATTAAATCTAGATAATTAGGTACTATTTAATTTTAACATGTAGGTATGTAGTTGTAGTTATAAATTACTTACAAATGAACAGGATGTTATTTAAGATAAATAACTGAATTTCAATTTGGTATTTTGGTCGTTTTTTATGGTTCCATGATCTGAAAACAAAATATAAAATATTGTTATAAGTTAGTTTATGATTGTATGTTTAATCTTTATATTTACATTTACAATATCAATATTTATTATAAGTAATTATGCAATTACGTACAACATAATGTTAAGTAAGTAGTTAAATAATAAATTGTATATCTAGACTCGTATTAATTATTAAACGTGACTATTATATACCGACTATTATTATTATAGTCACTATACACATATTAGAGAATTTTTTTTGGGGGGGGGGATTATTATAATATTATATGATTAATATTTAAGTATAAGGAATTTTAAAATTAAACCAGATTCATATTTAACTATGATATATTATAAGTTTATAACATATCTCATTATTTCAGAAAATTAGTGTCTGAGAATTTATGACTAAATTTAAAAATTAAAAATTGAATACTTATAGCATAAAAAATTGTAACAAACAAGAAAAAGAAAACAAATATTTTAATACTTAGTGTAAATAATTTAGGAGGGTACATAATATGTATATTAATATATTGTTAAAATCAACAACCTAAAAACTAATTAAATTTTAAGAGGTATAAAAGTTTTTGATCATTTGATCTATTAAAAAAAAACCCACTGTACACATTATATTATTGTTAGTGATGAGTCATTAAATAGTGAAAATGGATAAATGATACGTTGTATAGTTATGAAAAATGGTAAAATGTGCGTATGTGCACATGGAGAAATGTATTAAGTGTAAAAATATTTATTTAAATCATGCAGTTTATTTTTGAAATCTCAGTATTTTTAATAAGTTAAGTTGACCCAGTCATAAATCTGTACATGTTAAAATCCAAATATTTTTTAAAAAGATATTATTTTTCAAATTAAAGTCTTACTTAAATTTTTTTGTAAAAATCATAAAAAATAAGCCACTGGCTTCAATAAATATTTTTACAAATAAGTTTTCTAAAAAGCAGATTTAAAAATTAACTGTTTTTAAATTTAAAAGAAAAAAATTTAATCATTTTAAATATTTTATTTTCGGTACTAAAAAAATAAAAATTATATTAAACGTGTATCAGTACATTTTATAGAAACACATTAAAAATATTGATTAGAACAAGTTTTTTTTATTTGAATTCTTCCTGCTATTCTCTGTATGATGTATATAATTATTTGTTGGTATTAGCTTTTGCATAAAATAAAATATTCTTATTTTTTTAAAGGTATGATATTATAAGGTTTTTAAATACATATTTTTATAGTATGATTTGTATATTATAGACTATATACAATTTAAACTTTATGATTGTGTACATTACACAACTATAGAAAATATTGACAAACGCAGAAAGTGTAAAATTTAAATAATTTTTTTAAGAGATTACAGTATGGCTCTTATCAGTGACCAGAAATGAAACTTAAATAAATATATAACATGTCTATTCTAGTATTCTGTGACATTACTGTCAATTTACATAAAGTCAAACAAAAAACATTTAAAAATGGACATTATTTTATTCTCTCCAAATCAGTTGACAGTCCGCATGATCCGCTCCTTTAAATACATCACTACATTTTAATGAATTCAAAATGTATTTTGTATGAAAAACAAGTACCTAAGTAGTTTTAGGTAAACAAAAACAAACAAGTTTAAATAAATTTTTTTATAATATTTACGATACATTTATAAACATAATACATATAAATTTTAATCCATTAATATAATATCTTAAATTGATGATTTAATTAAAATTTAATATAATATAAACCTTATGACTATCATTTGCAAAAATGTGTATTGTCATTTTTTAAAATGATGTTTTTAATTAATTTTATTTACGTAAAACATTTTTAGTCGGGGTAACAAATACTAAAACAATAAACTTAACTCAACTTCCCATCATAGACATGACTATCTAAATTGGTTTTACAATTCTAATATTGTTGTTTCTGTGTGGACCTGGCCAAAGGTTAACCTAACCAATAATTAAGTTTTTAATATAATGGTCTTTTTATTTATACAATTTATATTTCAATATTGTTATTTATTAATGATACTAATGGTCAGTTTATTGCACAATTACATTATAATATGTCAACCATTAATTTACATTTCATTGAATTTAATTAAAATAATGAATTTTTAATTAATTACTTAATTACTTTCTTCTATTATATTTTAACATAATTTAATATATTAAAAAATACATTTGATTAATAATAATAAATTGTTTTAAAAATTGCAATTATTTATTATTGATTGCCATTACTAAGGTTAAATGTTATGAGCATGTAGAATATTATAATTTCAAAATGCTCATATTCCACAGAAGAATCAAGATTTTGTAAAAAAAAGCCTATGTACAAACACATATAATGTTCTTAAATTTAAGATTAATAATAGGGATGCAATCTCATATTCAATCTAACAATAATACAAGAGTAGTTCTGAACACAAATTTGGTAAATTCTTTAGACGAAGACAACATAAGTTAAATATGATACAATTTATGACGGTAGGGATTAACTGTTATAATCTTTATATTGGTCCTCATACTAATTTAAGTAGGTTTGACTGCAATATTATTTTAAAAAATAATTAATGAAGTATCACCTTGAACTTTATTCAACTTATGCTGGGAGATTATTTTTACGATTTTCATAATTTGAAAACCAAATTACATTTGTAAACAATAGGATACAATATACTAAACAATAATTTCTGTAGGATAATCATACACTGAATATTATGATATACCAACAAAACAATGAAATACAAGTTATAAATAATATTTTGAAGTATATTTATTAGTACATAATATTTATTTGAGGCTCAATTTGAGAACTTTCCTTAAAGGTTTATTTTGTTCATTAAACAATATTTAATTTTATCAATAATGAGTGATTTTTAAGTTATTTCAAAATGTATTGTACTGTACATTTATACAATATAATATATAGGTGTATTTATAAAAATATGTCATGTATTAAGCACACATAATTAAAAATGGGAGTTAAATAATAACCAAGGTATTCCAATGGCTGAGGCTTTCCACCAAATTGCGCTTGTTTATAGTACTACAAATGTATCACTAGTAAGACAAATATACATTGAATAATAATTTAAAAAATGCAAAACATTAACTACTAACTAGACATTTATATAGAATATAAATGAACGATCTCACTTTCATTCTTCGTCAAAATCATAGTTCCACATTTCGAGCTAAATTGCAGATGTCCAGTTACCTAATGAGTATTTCATAACAACGAAAATGATAAGATAAAGCACTATGAACACATACAACATTAGAACACAAACAAGATACATAATTAGAGCATCAATTAATATGAGATATTAATCCTGCAGTTGGTAATTTAATGAAAACCAATTCATCATGAAAACAATTTACATAATAAAATGCTAAATAAAATAAAACAAAAATTATGACAATATACCTATTATGCATTAATAAAATAATAAAGATACTAAAACAGTTTCCATAAAAAAAACTATGATATAGGAGTATATTGAAACATATATAGAATGACACAATGACTCGCATATAAATAATTGCATTAATATCATAATAATGCAATTCAATGAGGATAATCAAACAATATTTCTGACTCTAATATTAATTATTTATAAGAAACTATTGTTAAATAATAAAAAAAAAATTGTGGAATCCATTTATTATACTTAGGTAATTATGATTTAAGTAGTTTTATCATTTAAATTATGATCACTGTAAAGATGGGTATATAAATAAATATATAGTCGAGTCTCGATAACTCAAATCTCAACAACTCAATTATTTTTCTTAACGCTTTAAGTGTTTTTAAGTTTTGTTTGATGTATACAACTAAAAAAAAAAAGCGGGTAAGTGGATGTCGCTCTGCTGTACAGTAGGTTACAAGTGGGTCAATGTATAATGGATTGTATTAAACTTGAATTTAATGATATAATATCATTGTATAAATTGTATAAGAAAAACGACTAAGAGAAGACGGTTAGTCAATAGTCGGTCTGGATTTTTTATATTGTTATTATTTACTATAGCCTGTATGTTAAATTAATATTATAATATTTTTACTTTTTATGGTATGGTGATTACCAAAGTGTTAGAAACTAAAATCACATTTTTAGAGGTATTTTCGTAATTTGTCGGTAGTTTTTCCAGTGGTATTGAATTACAATTGAGAAAATCGAAAAATGATCCCTCTAAAGTAACATCTTGATAAAATTTGCTAAAATTTGCTAAGGTACTATATGTTGAAATCAAAGAACTCCTTCTGGTAAAAATTTTGTATACAGTATAAAAAAAAAAAAAAAATTGAACACCATTGTAAAACCACTAGCTTCCTCGCTCCGCTCAGAATCTAAAAATACATAAGTAAAATTTACTTATTTTTTCTCCTTGATAATTTGAATTTCATTAAGACAACTGTAAGTATATATTTTAGTATACAAGTATAATTTGCCCCACCAAGCTAGATAAATGGCAACTGATTATGACTTGTATAAGAATAGAGGTTTATAATTATTTGTAACCCTTTATTTTAAAGCATCAATTACGAGATTTAAAGAAAAAATCTTCAAGTTATTCAACTAGTCAACAATACATTTAATATTATGTATTATCAGTTAGTAGTAAAATGTCATTAGAATTTTAAAGTGCCTAAATTAATAAATCTTACTTAGTTTGTATATGCATTTTTAATTTTAACATCAATTATACATTTCATAATTAAAACACACTACCTACCAAATTATTTCATAAGGTTTAATACAACCATATCAAATATATAAAATTAAAGAAGTAAAATACAGAATACAGTTGATATTGAAATGCTTAGCTTATATAAAACTTCAGGTTTGCAATTCTATTCTTCAGAGATAAAAAAAAAAACCACCCAATTCTATTTAAAGTATGAAATTTAACAATAACACAGAAACGATTTCTTCGTTTTATTAGAGACACATTAAGAAATATTATATTAAGCACATTATTAAATGTAATTGATAACACTTGACAAACCAAATACTTCAATGTACACTTTACATTTTGTTTTTATTTATTAATTAAAAAATGTTTTTTTATACTAACATTAATTGTTTAACACATAAATTGCAGAATAGTTGGACATAATAATAATTAATAATTATTAGTAATACATTTTTAAATTCATAAGAATAAATTGCACTTATTAGGCTTATAACTCTGATTAAATAAATAAACTATGCGTTTATTTTGATTTTACTTACTAAAATATGCAATATTAATTAAAATATTAATTTATTTTGAGTAATTAAAAAATAAAACAATGAAAAAATGAGATTCGTGGTCAATTTAAGTGCTGACAGGTATGATACAATTGTCAAAGTAATAACAAATATATATAAAAAATCCTTTTTAATGTAATTGATAAACATTACATTTTTGTAAATAATAATCAACTTAAATTATTAGTATACAAATACATAACAATGAAATAAAAATGTTCAAGCAACTTAAAGAGTAGTTACTTGATGTTAACAACAGCAATTCTTAGTGTCATTAAATTATAAAAATATACATTTTCTTATTTCAGTCTAAGTCTAACTTAAAACAGTTCACTTACCAAGGTTGATTCCTCGGTCCAAAACGTGGTCCCTGATTCCATCTACCAGTTGGTCTAGAATGGGGAATGAAATTTCTAGGGCCTCTTGGCCAATTACTAATTCCTCTCTTCCATTTTGGCCTAAAATCTTCTATGGATTGGCTTCTCTGAACATTTTGAGGCCACTGAAGTTGAGGCTGATTATGTACAAAGTTTGAATCACTTTGCTCTTGTTCCCACTGGTTAGGATGTTTCCATTGATCAGATTGTTCTATATTCCACTGGCTTCCATTAAAACCGGATATATCATTACTCCATGGTGGGGGAGGCTGCTCCCAATGATTTTTAATATCTGGTACACTTTGTTGGTCAAAGTCAAAAGGCATTGGTGGAGGAAGTGGTGGAGGTAAAAGTACATGATGCTCATGTTTTTGATCATGGATTGATTTAGGCTTCTCATCATCGTCACTCAAATCCATATCAACACTTTCTACATTATCTTTTGGTGGTTTACTGACTGCTTCCATAAGCAAAGCTGGTGGTGATGGTGGCATAGGAATACCAGGAAATGCTCGGTAATCAACATCAACAGATACCATTGATGAATTCATATGAGGAGAATGTGTCAAACTAATTAAGTTTCTGTGGTCAATATCAGAAGTTTTAGTTATAATGTCTTGAGAAACTCGTTCATCTCTATCTATTATTTTTGAAGCTAAAACACAGTGATCGATTCCTGGCCCTCCATCAGTTTTACTGATAATGGGAGTATTTTGATAGGAGATTTTTTCATGAAAAGGTGGTGATGCTGGTGTATCGTTTGTTGACCAATCAGTATGTCCAGTTACATCCCAAGCTGAAAATGTAGGACAAAATTAATAATCTCATAATAATTTGAAGGTTAAGTGACGGCTGATTATTTTATACAAGACAATAAAATTAAGAAACATAAAACATTGAATGAATAAGAATAAAAATTGAAACTATTACAATGAATTTAAATTACCCGTTTGTGGAACATGAGATACTGGTATAGTATTTTCATTTATAAGTGATGACGAATTAGTAGGAGGTATCACATTATTAGAGAATTCAGTCGTTATAAATTGCTGACTAGATGACATTGGAGTAGGTACATAAGCTTCATAACTACTTGTAGAAAATGTAGAACTTTTATTATGATTATTCATCTGTAAAAAAAAAATATTATATATATATAGAACAATAAATGAAAGATATACGTACATCATTAGTATATGAAACATTTGTTTGATTATGAAAAGCTGAATATGCAAAAGTCTCATCTGGAGGTGGTGAGGGAGCATCATATGGAAACTGACTGGTGGTTAATGATTGTTGATCTTGATTTTCTATTGCTGGAAAACTTATAGAAGCTGGATCATACATTTCTAAATAATATACAAATATTAAAAAAAAACAACAATAAATTTGACTGTCTAAAAAATGTAATTTGACATACCTTGAACAGTAGTATACGTGTCAGGAGTAATATATGACTTAATATTGTTGATTACTGTAGTGGGCACATAAATATCAGTGTCATTAATGCTATTTTCTATCGAAGAATTCATCATATATTTATCAGAATTTAATACAGTATCATAATTGATATTGTGTATGTTTAAGTCTTCAATAGAGACTGAAGATGTTGAAGGAGATGGTGCATTAATATCAGGTGAAGGCATTGGACTATCTGTTGGCATAGAACCAACTAAGGATTCCAATTTGCTTTTTAAAAGTTTTACTCTTTTAGTGTAGTTGAAATATGCCTGAAATTGTTTCTTAAATTAGTTCTCTGTTATAGCATATAGACAAATATATTTTTTTACTTGAGCAACAGTTGTAACTTCGCCATTTTGTTCTTCATAATAAGATGTAGCAACTTCTAAAGCATCAATTAGTTGAGCACGATCAATAGTTTCTCGTTTGAGGCATTTAATGTAGCTTTCAATTTTTGACATCCCATCATTTAATTCATTCAAGAACTCGTGACTTCGTGTCCGATCTAAAAAAAAACATTAGTTTGTACAATTTTATATAATGGATATTTACCAATTATAAATAGAACAGGACAAGACTAAAAATAGTAGTATAACTTATATATTTATAATAACACAATAGCATCATTATAATTTTAATTACATTGCTAAATAGTATAATAATCATATTTATTTTTAGATAATGAAATATAAAACGTCTTAAAATTATAAATATCTGTAGACAACAATAAAACACCTTAGGTCTATGCACCAAGCCATAGGAATATGCCATAGTACAACAATATTACCTTTTAACATGTTCTGTATAGCTTCATTATTAGTAAGAGGCAGATTAGCTTCTCTTAAATTTTTCATCTTCAGGTCTGTAATCTGTTCCAGTTTAACACAAGAACGTATTTTAACCGCTAATGCATGTATCTAAGAACCATAATATATTTCATATAATTATTAACTAATAAACACATTTAAATAACTATAAAAATTCACATTTTTAAAACGTAAGTAAAAACTATTATAAAATCAGTAAGAAGTAATAATTAATAATATATGATATTCTATGAAGAGTAAATATCAGTAGTAGACCAAAAAATTAACAATATAGCTGAGTAACTTGGAGGACAACCAACCAGATACAACATACATAAATACATAAATACAGTAGACGAAGCTTTTAAGACTCACAGATATAAGGTTCAGTCGCTTATTAGACTCAAAATCGTCTGGGATGGTCCGGATGTATCCAAATATATTATAAAAAATTTGGTTATAACTTATAAGACAAACCCCTTCGTTTATAAGACTCAAATTTCATAAAAAAAACGGTAGGAAATGAAAATTTTTGGTTAAAATGTAGAAATAAATTTGTTTTTAAAAATTACATATTTAGAATCATATTGATTATATTGACAATTTACATATTCATGCCTTATAATGTGTGTACGTACAACAAATTTGATCGCATTTTACATTTATCGTAATTATCGTTATTGTAGTGTGAGGTATAAAAACATTCCCAATTACCTGGCACAGCTAACGTAATTGAAAATCGATATGTAATTTATAATTTTTTATTAATATGTAATAATTTTTATAATAATATAATTTAAATTTTTTAATTATAATTTTTTTATTTATTCACTAATCAGTAGTATGTAATCTAGTAGTTTTAAATAAAAGAAAATATGTAGGTAGTAAAATAAAATTCATAAATATGAATCATATTATAGCGTTATAACAAGCTTTAAAATTAATACAGATTGAACAAAAAATTTGCCTTGTATGTTTTTCTGACAAAGAGAAAACACATACTAGTTCGGCATCCTCTTAAGGTTAAATTTAGAACAGGAATAATTATAAATATTATATATTATATTAAATATCGGTACTACACCAGTGGCGGATCTAGGGAGATGGCAAAGGGGCATTTGCCCCCCCCCCCAATCATCAACGTAGTTTTCCTTTGGTTTACACTGTGAATAGTCAATTTTGGATCTTTTTGTACTTTTGCCCCACATGCCCCTCCCAAAATTAAGCTCTGGATCCGCCACTGCAGTACTCATCATAGTGTATGAACTGTGTAAAACTTTTAGATTCAAAAAAAGTACTCACTTGAAACTCTTGTACCGGATCAGCTAATTTTAATTTCTGAATTGGTGTAGTTAATAAACCAGTTAAATCAGCTAAATAACTATCATCATATACACCCCGTTCTTCCCAAATTTTAATAATTCTTGAAATTTTAGTTTGTATTTTTTCATCCCTAAAAATAAAGTGAAAATAAAATATGAAATATGGCGACATTTTTAATATGGGGTTATATATATTTTGAAATAAACATTTAAATAGGTAATTTTATTTTAAGTACAAACTTCATAACTTGACAAAACCCCAATTAAAAAATGTCCACACCAATCTCAAAGTTTCAGTCTCGATGGAATACGGTTCTACACACTTACAAGTTGAGAACCAAAACAAAATATCGGGGTTTAAAACCGGAACTATCACAAAACCTTTTCTTATCAGACAGCAGAGAAGACTAGGAATAATTGTAACTAATTACAATGACAAATAGACAAGGATAATAACTATTAATGTATATTGTACATAATATTACCTATAGTAAATATTTATAATTAAACTTATAAGAGCATGCAATATATAGGTATGCTGACACATTTCTAATAATAAATGGTTATTAAGTATATAGTTTTTTACTATTGTTGACCAGAAAAAACATAATGGATAGGTGATATCTGGATAGTAGGTACCTACTTAATTTTATTTCCAATCAATTTTAGTTTTAACTACATTATTTTGTTACTTGTTATTAACATTGAAATGTAGTAATTAGTATAACTTACCTGACATAGGGGATAGCTTTTTGAATAGCAGTTGCCCATCCATCAATAAACTTGTAATTCTTTTTCTTACTGTATTGTATAACATCGTTGGCTAAATAAAACAAAGTCAAACGTTTCTCGATCTTCACCTTCCTAATAGCTTTTAACCAGATAGTGATAATGCTTTTGTAATGTTCATGTCGTTTAAGGCACCATGCAGACAATGATTGAATTGCATCCTGAGTGTCTTTTAAGAGCATTAGCTTCTTTTCAAATTCTGCATCTGAATATTCTATCATTTTTACGTCTGTTGCACAAATATAATTATAGCATTAATTACATGTTTAGCCAATGAAAATCAGATATTCGCAATAAATAAACATATTTCGTCAAACGGCTTGAAAATAAAAAACAATCCACCTTATAGGTATTTAGTTGGACAAGAAACTAACATTATTAAAACTATCGAATCATACTCGAGGCCGCGACAATACAATTATTAAGCTATGAATATTTTAATTCATATTAATAAACCGAATATAAGTGGAAGAAAATTGAACGTCTATAATAGCTCAATAGGAATATTTGAACACAAGTCACAAGTATCTCAAAAATGGTAAGAAATTAAAATGTTGTATAATATTATATACACACTCTAGACAGGCATAGTATTGTCGATGGTATAATATAGTTTGGCAAGACATGCAATTGGGTACATAACACGATAAGTTTAATCAATTTGCATGGAGGATAATATTGTAACATGTTCAGCTGACAATCGCGTTATTGTGTACAATAGGCGCGAAAAATATTTTTCAATTCCTTGAGATTGGCAGCAACGGTCACCATCAGACCACGAGCGGATGTCGCTCTGCTGCACAGTAGGCACGGTGACGGTTTATGATCTACATCTATATTCTATATAATATTTATAGATCTGTCTTATACCGTGACAGTTGTATTGTAGGTTACTAGTGGCTCACTGTACGACAGTGTTGCCAACACTTAATATGAAAGTAAAAAATAATGCTAGATGTAATTTTCAGATACTATAGTGGCTCCTTAAATAATACTAGTTTTAGCTTTTAAATGGCTGACTTAGCAACGCTGCACTGTATAATGGATGGTAATTGGTATTCATTGGTGCAACTAGGAGAGTACAAAAGTGTCTTTATCACCCCTTGTTTTTTTAGGTTTAACTATCATTATAATAGTGAAATAGATACCACCAATCGTTTTTAAAATATGACATATTATATAGCACCCCACGTTTTAGAGGTGTAGATGGTCTATGATGGTATTAAATTTGAATTCAATGATATAATAATATTATTCTATAAGGAAAACGATCCTGATCGGAGACGGTTGGTCAGTGTAGATATTTTATATTATAGGTATTTATATTTTTATTACCTACTACTTATTATACAGTAGCAGGTAAGTTGAATTAGTATTATAAAATTACAATAAAAATATTAAATTTGTTTTTCTTGGTTATTTAATATGTAATTTCGTCTAAATATGAACATAAAATAACTATAAAAAAACCGTGTTTTTATATTTTTGGGATTTTTGGGTTACAGACTAACCTACTTAAGTGGAACCTTATTTTAAATTTTCAATCCTTAGCTAAAATTTGAAAATCTGATGATATTTTAATTACAAAATCGTTTTTTAATTTTAAATTTTAAAATATTTGTCAAAATTTGAATTTTAAATCCTTATAAAAAAACTTGTTACTGTATTTTTGATATTTTTCAACTGTCATTGTAACAATATATTAGGAGCCTTGTATTAAATTTTCAAACTTTTTGACCCTACAAATAAAATTTAATTGACATTTATAGAAAGAATAACTAAAAAAATTGGAAATTGAAAATTGAAAATGCCTGTAAACCACTTAAAACAAGTTAGAACAATATTTTAAAAATGTTATCGTGCAAAGTGTCCATATAAATGCTATAGTTAAACATTCAGTGAAAATTTCATGTATCTGCTTTTATTTGTTTTATAGTCACATCAAAAACCAAAATTGATTTTGTCGAAAACCTATTTTGAGTAAAAATTACAGTTTTTCCTTAATTTTTGTTATATTATTCCCTGCATTTTTGAAAACTATTGAGAATTTCAAATTGTGAAGAATTGCACCAACTAGATTTACTTTCCCATCGAACAAGATACTGTTGAAGAAAATCCAAGCAGTGTTACTGCCCAAAACGGTGTGTCAGACACAAAAAAACATTAAAATAAATAAATAAAAAAAACACACATCATTGTAAAATCAATAAACTCATCGTTTCGCTCAGAATCTAAAATTAAAGAAACGGAGACCAAACTATAATCTGTATATATAGGACGCATGTGCGGCATGTTATAATTACTTATAATTGTGGTCAGTGAAATTAAAGCTCACGCTTATTCTACCAATTATATAAATTATAAATATGCACTAAAAATTAACAAAATTACCTTTTTTTTTTTCATTTTTCCATTATTGCTTTTGCAGTATATCCGCTATACCACCTACAAAATGACCTAAAAATTATAATAAATACCTACTCAAAGTTTGGTTTTGAGTATATTAACGGTTAATAAATAAACGGTAATCAAATATTCTGATATTTATTTATTAATTTTAACTTCCTAGTCAAGTTGAATATCAGACAATGAAAACATTATAATACCAATTCAATGAGTACCGTTGGAAATAAAACAATTTAATTTAACGTAATTTTATACTACAATGACTGTCAGCATAAATCTGTCCACCCTTAAGCAGCCAGCTTGAATTTTAAATCGATTCATTAATAAACCACGTCATAAATTATTACCTGACATAGTATTATATTATATACTCATATAATCATAATAATATAGGACGTGTATTTATACTTAATCACAGAAGCAAATTTATTATCTATTATTATTGCTGTGTATTTGTTTTAAAATATGTACGTTTGGGTAGATTTACTGTATTCAGAAATTAAAATATTATTTGGCTTGTTAAAATGAATGCAGGGCTGGCCTAAGAGGGGGGAGGCACCAGCGCTTTCGAATGCCCCTCGCTTTGCACCTTTTCCTTTACCTTATCAAAATTACTTGAGCAACAATAATTTAAAGTTTATAAATATATTGATATTAATTACTGTGTGGTACTACTTTAGTATTTATAATCAATGCTTAGGAAAAATGTATTATTATTATTAATATTATTTATGATTCAACTACCTATACAATTAAACATGATATTATAATACACTGCACAATAGGTAGTCCAGTAAGCGTAACAAATTCATGAAATCGGGGAGACTTATTCATTAAGCAAATTTATTTAAACCATTATTAAGGGGCCCTACTATTGACCGAATCGTGTGCCAATAGCCATTTGGTATATTTTGTTCAGTGCTCAGGAAAAGAACTCTTTCATAAAAAAAATTATTTCTCACCAGGCCCCGCAATCCTTGAGCCGACTCTGAATGAATGTGATAGAATTCGAATTTTATATTAACCTAAAATTTGTCAGACTGAATTATTATATAATATCTAGGTACCTCTATATATACTTTATTTTTGATTCTGAACATAACAAAGAATGTATTGGTTTTATATTTTTACAATCACAATTATAATGTCATGTCGTGATTTGTTTTCATCACGTTTTGGAGCAGACTGCAAACAGTATAAGTATCAGTATTTGTGTTATTAACTAAAGTTAAAACTGTTTATTATGGAGTATTTTATTATGTATACATCCGACATTGTGTTTCTTTAGAGTACTTACAGAGTAATTTAATAAATATAATATTATTTTACTTCTTAATCAAATTTATTTTTGGTTGTGATTTCTTTTAAGATTTATTCTCCTGGTAATTCTCATAACGCATAATTTAATCAACCATCAATTTACGTATTACGTGTTCCCAGTGGTAAATAGGTACACGCTAAATATTTGCTAAAAAAAAATTGAATTATTCAATGTGGTGCGGGGCACTTACGTCATTAATTGAACAACCACAATATTTGCACAGACCACGTACATGGGCGCAATTAGGGTTAAAATTCTGTGATGCGGGGAGGGGGGCTACAGTCCTATTAACAAAATTATTAACTTAAAATAACCCATAAGGGCCGTTTATATTTAAAATCAATAAGGGATCTGTTTTTAGGGGGGGGGGATAAAAAGCAGTCAGAGGGGCTTAGTCCACTCCCTATTACCCCTAGTTGAACAACTGACCAAGTAAAATATTTATTTTTGTAAATTCACGACTTATGTAGTGTCTATCAGACGTACTTTTGATGTGGCCAAATATATGTAACAATATAATATTATATCTGAAGAGTGATGACTGTTTACTTTGTCTGAAGGCCTATTCATAATAATGTTGACAATGCATATTTTTGTTTGATATATTTATTTTATTTGAATTGCTCACGGAATATACTTACGACGAACTAAAATGTAATTATGGATAATATTGAACATTTCAGTCATGTGCCTATTTTGCCTATGCTATACGCCGGGCAACACATTATGTTTGTGCAAATAAGGTATAAATTAAAATTGAATTTTATTAATAAGTACTCAAAAACCAGTTTTTGTCAAAATAACTATAGGTACTTACTTAAAATTTCGACCAAATACTCATATAGTATTTTCTGTATAATTTCATGATATTATTTTCAAAATATTTTGACTCTTATTGAGTAATAGGTACTTATTGACATTTTTTTTTCAATAAAACATTTTTGCTCTGTCAAAAAGCTTGAACATTTTTTTTTTTTACTTTACATTTTAAAATAAGAGTTATTCGTTTAATATAATATAACTGCTGGAATTAACATTAGCACCACTTTAATAGTATATTTGAATATACGCTTTTTGTGTGTTTTGAGGCTTTTACATTTTCTTGTAAAAAAAAGGGCTTATAGTTTTTAATTTTTATAAGCATAGTTGTTAGTATTGTTTTTTGAACTGATTATAATATATATAATATATATATATATTATGTATATATGCAGGTGATTCACTTACCATGCTCACCTCCTTTTTTCTTTAATCGTTGAGTATATTTAAAAACTCCAGAACTTAAAATTTGAATAAATAAATTATTAAATAAAAAAATGGTGGTGAGTATCTTAGTGAATCACTTTGTATTTATACATAACTAGAGCTCAGAACAGTTCAATAATTTCGTGTGATATTTACTATTCATATTTAAATATCATATTTTGGTTACTTATTTAAAACTTATCATCAGAGGAAATTAATTTTAAATTTTCGGATAATTTTTTTTTCATATTACGTTCTTTTCTGTAGCGGCTAACTAAGTTAGTAGTTAACGTATTAATACGAACACCTTTAGCAATTCATATACATAGGCATAATATTATAATATCCGTCAATATAATATGTGTCATATTTTATATTGAATAATTATAGATTATAATATGAATGATTTTCTAAAGACATATAAATAATAAGTATAATAATTATTTATATTTTGAAGACCTAAGGTTTGTTAAACACTGGACTAGATGTACGTTTGCACGATTGTAGAACAATAATATTTTAGTTGTAGAAAATTGATTCTATCGTACAACCAAACTTCTACTTATACGTATTTAAAGCTCAAATATGCCTATGAAGTTTAACTGATTTATATATTGTAACAATTTTTACAGTATTCCAACCTTAATTTTGATGTAATATATTAAGAATAAAACAGACAGCTATAATTGCTACAAAAATATATTATTATACAAAACTTATATTTTATGGTTTAAGACCTAATTGATTTTCAATTTTTTCATACTAAAAGTTATTTTATACGGTAAATAAATGTAATCTATAAGCACAACAAAATAATGTATACAACATTTTATAATTTTGACTGATTTTATTTTCGTAAACATTGATATACTTTCATATACCTTATGATAGTATGTTTACTCGATAAATAAATGCTTCATAATAATATTTACTCTTTCATTCAATACATTCGTTTGATTATAGCATATAAAAATACCCACTTCATAAACACTCGTATTACATTAAATAGTCATGTGTTGTGATCATTTTTAGTGACATTCAAATTTTAACATATAATAACTTTTTATAGTTTGGAAGCAATTATTTTCGGTAATTTATTCGCGGTGTTTTATTCCTATCGGTATGCTGTATAAATAATATATTGTGTAATATGTACACTTCAACACTTCAATCAATCAGCTGGTGTAGATGCTGGGAAGTGTATGGCATCATCATTTCGCACTTTATGCAACATAACTTATAATTGGAACTGTGTGTATAACATTTTACTGTACTACATAGATTATATTTATATATAAATCCTAGAAATACATAATAAGAAGTACATAATATACTTATAAGTTATAGTTATAGGTAACTCGAAAAAAAACCACTTTTATTGTTCTATTAGGTATTCTTTATTGTGAAATTAATTGTTTAACATTGTTTTTTTAAAGATGACAATATTTGAAATATACTTAAGCTTTCATGTCGATCAAAAACTATTGAGTTTATTGATAGTTTAGTTTCAAAATTTTATGCGGTGAACAAATAACTATAAGTATTTTATTTAATCAGACCCAGTTTTTACCAATTATTATAATTATTTGATGGTAATTTCATAATACAATATTTTATACATAATAAAAATTGTATTAAACCTGACCGTTTTATGTTAGAGCATTTATATTATTGAGCAGTATCTAGTAATTGACGAAATCGGTGATTATCGTCTATCTAGCTAATATTGTTACAATATCTTTCTGATGTATATGATAATTTTTTTTCACGAAATAAAAATAAAGATTATGTACATTATATAGGTTTATATATCCCTGTGACATGATTATTTCACCTCTAGTCACTTTAAAGTAATACATATAATTCAATTTTCTTAATTTAATGTCATATATAGCTTAGCGTATATGCACCACTTTAACAATTATATAATCGGTAAAAAAAAATTAAAATGTAAATATATTATATATATAATTATATATTATGTTGAAAATTGGACGAAAAAAGACAAAAAAGAAAACACTAATCAATCAACTAAGTCATGAGCTATGGCAGTACAAATGTATTTAATTAAATACGAAGTATTTCAGAAAGAATTGATGTAAAATTTAGTTGACAACATGTAATAACTGTTGGTCAAATAAATATAATACTTATAGTAGTATAGTTATGTTATATTATAGTGTTATTACATAGTTCAATAGTTGGCTAATTACATTTTTTGTAAGTTATTTCTGTCACATCCTGTATGTATAGTGTATTGTAACATTTAATAATAAATCATGATATCTTTACTATACACTATACCAGGGGTCTCCAAACTACGGCCCGCGGGCCGCATGCGGCCCGCGAACAAGTTTTAACCGGCCCGTGGCCCGCATAGGACGCATAGGTAAATAAAGATAAAAAATTATTTCAAAAATGTATTTATATTATATTATATTTATACCTATTTATTTTTATTTAAGTATATTGTAAAGTAAACAATATTCTATACAAAAATATAAAGTAAATATATTATTTATATAGGTACCTATATTATCATAAAGTTAAAAATTATATGTTTTAATAAACTTTTGGCCCGCTAAGAGCATTTGATTTTTTTTGTGGCCCTTGAATAAAAAAGTTTGGAGACCCCTGCACTATACAGTTTATAGCAGTGGATAACGGGTCTTAACATTTTATTTTTATTTAAAGTATAGTCATGCATTCATAAATAAAAATAAATTTTCATTTTGATTATTATTTATCGATAATTTAAAAAAGTATTATAAAATGTTATATTTTAATTTTAATCGTAACAATAAATACTTCAAGTGGGTGAACCTATCAAATAGATCGAATTATTAAAAAAAAAAAATGTTCAGAGCCACATCACGAAAGCTTGAGTATAAACATCTACGGCGATGGATCACCGGTTAAGAACCCCTGGTTTATATATTATAAGATCGCAGTGGTAAAATTATGTAACTTTTCGTCTTAGAAATTAATATCGAGTCTTTGCAATGACGCGATAGAGGATGGGATGTCATGTACGAAAAAATTTAAATAAAATAAATTCTGGAAACGTTGTCCTTTCGGCGGAACGGCCGTGGTCATCCACGGCTCCTGCCTAAAGCACAGTGACTCCCCTCGAAAACGTCTCCTGACTTCCGGGCATGTAATTCGAAGTATTGTACGTGATCAGAGGCCGGGTCCTGTTCCTAATGGTTGTCGTGGCTGTCGCCGTGGACCGGTTGCCCGGTCGCCGTCTCAGGATTTTCGTGTAGAACAGTTGATACAGCTCGTTACGGATGTTGGAGTTCATCCAGCCGTAAATGATCGGGTTTGAGATGGCTGAGGTCATGGCGGTCAGGTGACAAACAGCCAGAATCACATACAGCTGTTTGGTCGTAATCTTCTTGGTCGTAATCTTCTTGGTCATTAGGTCAGCGGCCAACGAGAACACGGCCAACGGAAGCCAACTCACAGTGAAGACGACCGCCACTCCTGAAACACCGAATATATTTTAAACCCTTCATTGGCATTCAATGCCCATTGTAGTATATTATGTGGTACAGTTCTAGTCATATTCGTTATATTATGTAAATCCTAAATAATATTGTACAATATGTAGATAACATTAATGTAAAATTAATAAAAAAAAAAAAGAAAAATTGGGCATTTAATAATTTAACTAAGCATATTGTATACATCTTATCAGGTATCATGGTAGTCAAGTGTATCTGAATTATATAATACGATGATAACAAAATGTGTTATCGGAGGTATAGGTATCTAAATATTATATAAAAGGCAAATACCACTCACTCACTCATTACTACATCTCATAAACTACAAAACGTAGGTACGAACTTTAAATTTTGAATAGTGGTTCATCTAATGATCTAGATGTGCAATAAAAAAGGATTTTCCTAAATTTGGATTTTAAAGAGGTGCACAATTAAGGATTAAGAGATTCATGATTGAAATTGAATATTTTTTTTTGTTTATAAATATAGTTGCCATTGTTTATAGATTTTAATTTGGAAATTGGTTTTTAATACCTAGTAAATTAGTATTTTCGGACAGATGAGGCAAAAGCATGCATCGACATTTCGGGCTTATGGCCTCAAATAAACAAATCATATCTTAACACAATTAATATGAGAGTTTATTGATCAAATTATTGTTTTATATTATGTTTGTTGCCTATAGACTCAAAAACCACTATGAGGTACCTACTGATTTTAACGAAAATGTTAGGGATTGTTCTCAGAGTTATCAGGAAAGTTTAAAGAGTAGTTTGAACCACGTTCGGAAATATACAAGGACCTATAAAATCTGAACTGAGGCACACCGAAACCGAGATACACCAACATAACGCTGTATTTCGTATTAATTGATCATTTTTTCCTGGGCGAAGTCGGGTTATACAGATATATCAAAAACCATCTGACAAGATGATACATTGTATCCTAGCCGCAGTAGGTTAAATTAAGTAAAAACGACAAACTTGGTATAACTTTGAAGCATTAAATTAGAAATAATACACTTATGTAAGCACCTCACGGGGCAATATAATGTACTGCTCGCATAATCACTAGCAAGTCTCACGGGTATCCTATTTGGCACGGGCAACGCCCCACGATGGCTATAATATAATATATTAATCGAACGTGCTCGGACTGACTCACTGACGGATCAACGTAAAGCCTAAACAATGATAGCTTGATGATTGAAATTAAATTTTCACGGTACCTTAGTACCACCATGGAAGTGTGCACTAAGAAAATTTTTTTCAAAATTCGTATTTTAAAGTGGTGCTTGCACAAGTATTTTGAGATTCACCATGGTCGAAGGAAATCAAACCTTGTTTTTTGTTTATAAATAATTGTTATCATTGGTTACAGATTAAAATATAAAATAGTAAAAAAGTTTTAAGTTATGAACACCATTACACCGAATATTAAATAACGAATTGGACAAAGTTTGAATCATATATGGAGTTGGCATTTTTAACGGGCAACAAAGTGCAACGGGGTTAGCTATATAGTGATTGTATAATATTATAATATTTATATGTATATTATATACAGTTTCATCGTCGATTTCCGGTGGTGATAAATCGGTATCCACTATTCATCAATATCACTGTTTTGACAAACTACTTATTATGATATGACTACAAAAGTAAAAAAAAAAAGCTTCTAATCATTCGCATATTTACATAATATTATTCTCAAATACCGAAACTTGGTTTCAAAAGTATATATTTTTTATACACCGTAATACGCGTATTACTATAAAACGACTATAACCGCGGTTTCGTAATGTTTCGTGGATGGTCACTTATTCAGAGATGATGTTCTTAATAAACGTGACAAACGAAAAGTATAATGAGTGAGTAGTGGTAATTGTTGACGCATTATTGACACGTCATTAAATGTGGTTATATAATAATATGGTAGTTTTGGAAAAAAATAACTATTATTCCAGTGGTGGTTTTAAACTCATACGATAAATTGATACTAGATAAATACTAGCAGTATACTACATACATGACGTGCTTTCTTTACTTTCGTCATTAATTATACCTATCAGAAGTAGGGTGGTCCGTTTGTTCCTTTGAAGTTCTCGCTGTGCACGCCTCGAGTCTTTTTGAGAAGCAGTGTGTGCGTGTAAATATGCTGCAATACGAATATGAACCACCAAAAGAACAGTGGCGGGTAGTACTGCTTGAATGAGCACTATTGCTATATTATACGCCACTTTGATATCGGTTGAAGGCCATTTTTCCCGACAACTTTCGTATAAAACTAAATGTTGAAATTTTAACGGTTCGACCACCTGAAATACAAAAATGGTGTAAGTTCGTACCTATAATATAGATTTATATATAGGAATAAAAAGGTATATTTGAATATTTCTGTTATACCTATGCCAAAGAAGTGACTGAGTTTTGAGCTAATGGACGTATGTGTATTGGCTTTACGTGTATATATAATAGTATATAATACCTACTTCCAAAAAATATGAAAATGTTATATACTTATAATTTATGAAATTATAACGTTTCACGTAAACTATAGTGGTGTCGACTTGATAACAATATCAAATTATGGTAACTTGGAGTTTAAAATTGCAATATTTATATAGGTATACTGTCTGTGTGATAATTTATCGACCAGCCTAACTTGGCACGGATCCAGAGGAAAGATCTGGAGGGGGGGGGCAACAATTTTTTACAACACAAATCCAATTATAATAAAATATTATACTTTATTCTTAATTTAAAAATGTTGTCATAATAGTATAGGTAGGTATATAGGTAATCAATGTGATAAATAAATTATTGATTATTTAATATATAAAGCGGCAATGTGAAAAGAAGTTTAGATTTTGTTTATTTGTTATTTAATAGATAATATTCATATTAATTATGAAAAGTATGTCTGGGGGGGGGCTGGGCCCCTAGCCCCCCTCCCCACTGGATCCGTCCTTGAGTCTAACATCTTCGTCTCGCTTGTACCTGCGTTATTTTTGTATACCATTAAACTAGTGTTTACCTGGTAGTAAGCTACGGGCGACGCGGTCAAGACGGCCAACAACCATACGGTAGCTATGGACACGTACACTGTGCGCCTTTCGTTTTGAGCAGATCCGCGGACGATCACCCAGTATCGATCTATGGCGATCACCGTGATCGTGCCTACCGACACCATGATGTTGGTGCCCTGCAACAGTGGCACGAGTTTGCATAATACGGTGCCCATGGTCCACTGGTGTCCCAATATCGACGTCAGTGTGAACGGCATGCACACCAAGCACAGAGTCATGTCGGAAACAGCCAAGTTGACTATGTACAGATTTCGGGAAGTGTGCATCTGAGTACGTCTGGCCACCACGTAGATCACGGTCAGGTTGGCAGACAGCCCGACGATCATCACACCGAAGTACACTATGATGAGCAGCGTCTTAAAACATAAAAAAAAAAACACCATCGATGTTCACCACGTCGTTTCATCATGTCTTATTGTTTCGGTACAACGTTTTAGGTTGTTTTCGATTAATTCCGGCTTATGAACTTAACGTATAGGTACCTACATTTCGATTATATTTTACTCCAGCAAGATGGTAAAATATTATATATTAAATACGCAGATAAATGATATGTTTTGTTTCGTTTCGTTTTACGAAACTCTCGCGCATCTACTTAAGTACCTAAGTTTAACAGACGATTTAAACGTTACATATTATAACGTCATATATTATAAAAGATAATATTCTATTTACGGCGGTGTATACAGAGTGAAATACCAAACATATTTACCCCCCTCCCCCCATTTTTATTTAAGGTTTAAAAAATACATTAAAAATCAAATTGTTATTCAATTTTTATGCTTTTTCGATAGAAATATCATGTTAAATTACATTGTTCCTTAATATGCTTGGTAAATGGATGAATTATTATCAGCAGCACAATTAATTTTATTACTTATTAACAAATACTTGAAAACATTTTGACTTATGTCACTGTTCATGACTTAAATAAAAATGTTTGTGTACCTATATTACCGGTTGAAAGAATTGTGACACAACTCAAAAGTGAGTATTAAATATAACTATACCTTGGTATTTCAATTAAAATAATAAATTGCATTAATAATATTATTTAGAGTTAACCCATTGCGTAACTTGTATTTATAGTTTATAGTTTATACCACAGGTCTTAATGGTTATAGTATTATTTATTATGCTTAAAACATGGGCCACAGTATTATAATATTATGCTTTTATTAAAATGACGATCATAGTTGCTTAGTGAATCACCCTGTTTATTAATTATTAGGACATGTTGAGTCGAAAACAAAATTTCTGATTCAGGTATACAGTGTATTAATAAATTGCACTTTTTATATTTTACGCACAGTATATCGATTGTGCTACCTACTTATATTTAACGGTCAGTAGGTATACCAATATTGCGCTCATTGTATTTTACGGTTAGTTTACCAATTGCGCCCTTTTTTTTACGATAAAAATTCTTTTGAACTTGCCTTGAAGTTTTATTTTGACCTTTATGCTTATTTATATACATAATAACAATTTGTATTTATATTAAGTAACTGAAGTGCTATATTGAATATAATAAATATTAAACTGCTGTTATTTAGCATAATTGGTCGATCAACCCTGACAATGACCAGTCGAAATATTTATCTATCAACCCTGATTATGAGCGAGCGCAATAATTGGTCTGTCGACACAGAAAATGACTGAGTGCAATATTGGTAAACTCCCTAAATTATACAGACATGGTTCGCAAGTTATGTAATTTAACGATATGTGTAACTGGAAAACCTGCAGTGCCGTGCCTACCAGATAATATACGAGATAGGTAGGTATATTATAATCTTATTATGAAAATTCCTCTGAAATAACAAGAAACCATGTTTACATTCAATCATTCAAATATTAAATAGGTAAGATTATATTTCACCGGTGTCATTCATATTACAATATCATTCAAAGTTAATTTTTTAAGAAACAAAAATAATGTATTTAACCTAACAGTTGATTATAAATGCATGGGTTTAAAATATTTAATGTCCATCAATCATAATCGTATCCTTGTGTGACCATCGATTATGACGTCCAATATATAAAATAATTCAATTTAAGCAATACCTAATTATGGTTTTTAGTTGAAAAAAGTAAAGTAACTAAACTATTCTTTCAAAAGCTTAGATAAAATACATTATAAAGCAATTTGTTGGATTTAATTAAGATATCTACAAATACATTTTCAAAAATATTAAACCAGTTTCCTCGTACTCAAGTCTCAAACATAAATTTAATAATCTAATTTCATTATAAATTTATGTCTATGCTATAATCTATACTATAATCTATGCCAGTGTTCCTCCCCCTTAGAGTATAATGGACATTATTGCGGACCCCCTAATAAAAATAACCTAATCTAACAATAAGTATACAATATTTGAATTTGAACTTAAAGCTTTTAGAAGATAAGTTTTTATTATTTATATATTTCATACTTGTTTAAATTTTAGCGTTTTATTTACATACCATCATATTTATTATACAAATCGTATTGGTAAAACATTCATAATGTTGATTGAAACATTAATATTATTTACTTTGAGCATAAAATATATATGAATAATAAATAACCGCAAACATAACTAAAAAATGATCAGTAAATCATTTTCCATACAAACTTTCCGAACACTAAACATTACGAAGTATACAGATGATTCAGAGTTATATTACAGATAAGTAAAAACTCATAAAATGTATTCTTTAATTTGAATTAGATTTTAAATAAAAATAAGGATATTTCTCATGAACTTAAAAACATAAGTATAAATTCATCGTTCAGAGTTATATTACATTTATAGCACTGGATTTATTTTTAATTACTATTAGTTATAATATTGTAATAATGTCAACATTATCTGAAAATTATTTTTATTACCAACTACTAACTAGAGTATTATTTCAAAGTCAAGTAAAGTTTATTTCAATTGCAAATGTATTAGCAACTACGCATTTTAATTTAAATAGAATATTATAAATATCAAAATTTAAATTAAACAGTTCAATTAATTTAAAATTAAAAATAAAACATAATTATGAAAAATAATAAGTTTCATAATGTTTAAATACAGTTAAAGCAGTGTTCTTAGTGCTATTAAAGAAAACACTGTTTTGGAAATCAGCACTAAAACATGCAATATATATTATTAATATTGTTTATTTTTTATTTTTTAAAAAAGTGTAATTACCTCAGTAATTTTGTCCAAATTTCGGTAATCGCGTTTATGCTCCAACAAAATAGAGTATACTTCTTCCAAACTGAAATTAAATGTCGAGTTCATCATATCTATTTCCTGACAGGGATCCATACATACAGGTTTTGTACTCATTGTTTCGTCCAGCGCGCAAATCATTGAGTCATTGTTCGATGGAAATTTCAATCCTGAAAATGAATAAACCAAATATTTAATGTTATTATCATTCTATCTTATTTCTGATTTTTATATTGAACGCATTTGAGTCAAAACTCAAAGATCTATGTCGATGAATGATAAACATCGTACGTTATTAATCCGCGAATTCATTCATCAGAAATAAATAAATGATTTATATATTTTTTTAAGTTAGATTCTAGGTATATCATATTTTAACTCAATGATTTGATGAAAGCATTAGTTTACATAATTATTTATTTATAATATGTGTAAAATATAGTATGTGAATAAAATTGTACATATAAATACAGTAATTTTGTACGTATTTCTTCTTTATTATTTCTAAAGTTGTTCATATCATTCCTGTCCATATCTATCCATATACTTATCCATATCCAATCAATTTTATAGTTGATAAGTTGATACAATAAAATAACATTATGATTAACATTTAGGTACTTTTTGCTTTTAGATTAGGCAAATTACAATTTATATTTAAAAGGAAATACATAGGTACCACATAAATAATAGTAATTGATAGACGATAATAATAAATACCTACCTATTTGTCTGTGGGAAATATTATTATATTTTTAGAACATTTTATATTTTTAATTATACAGTATTATTTTTTAAGACTCGTTGCTCGTTAGTTATTCTAATTCTAAGATGGTTACAAACATTTTTGAACTACAGTCACAACAATTTGCTAGATATTGTTAGTTTTAAATTATTTTATTATTATTACTGTCATTATATTGTATAATAAATGGTATACCTACAGGATTTATCCAAAATGAATGTGTTACAAATGTTCTTTACAACTATACCGTTACATTTTATTAACTAAAATTTAACGTTTAGAAAAATAATAGTCATTGAAATCTCCCACTATTATAAAATATAATAAATGTCAAATCAGGCATTTCTTTTGAACAGCTCGTTTAATGTTGGTGTTAACTGTTAATATGATTGATTATACTTGATATTAAAATATAATTAAATATCACCCTCAGCTTTAGGATTATATTATAACCTTGTCTTTAAATTCATTAAATCTTAAACATTTTTAATCTTTTTTAAACAAGATTTATTTTCAAAGGTAAATTAACTGTTTTGAAAAAGGTTACTACGAGGAAAGAGTGTAAGAGTATAAGAAAACGCTTATATAGATATACAGTATACACATATTATATATTTTGTTGTTTCTGTCTTATACACGCATAACATATAAAATGTTTAATATTAGGTATAGTAATTTTATCTTTCATCAAGCTAACATACGATAAACAATATTATCCACAATTTTCTTTATGCTTTATTTTAAAAGGAATAATAATAAGTTATTTTAAATTGTTGTACATCCTTTTAAGAGATTATTAAATTATATAAAATATTATTTTATACTAATTATTAGTAAGTACCTACTGTTTAAATAAGTTTTTTTTTAAATATATTTTTATTTTTATTTTTATTAGATGGCCCTCGGCAACATAGATCATTGGGTGGGGGTGGAACTGTGAGTTTTTGTATTGGATAGGTTTAGTACACTGTGTATAATGTGGCAGAATTTCTAGTGGGGAACCCGTAGGTTTCTGCCATGCCCCGGGTGGGGGATGGCGGCACTTGTTCTCCGGACACCGTGACTTACCGAAAAACGCCGCCCAGTGGCAGAGAATCGAACCGGCGATGGCTGCGCCGCAACCGACTCCTTAGACCGCTCGGCCATCTCGTCCCCCCATATAACTAAAATAATATATATTATATGTATATATACGAACATTTAGGTATCTTATAGAATATAGATAAATTATTTTTTTATACCTAGCATAATATTATGATAATTTTTAAGAAGTAACATAATATTTGTTATATACACAATGAAATGAAAAGAAATATGTCAACAATTTTACTATTGTAACTGTTTTCATACAAATATTAAATTAAAATTATTACCAATTGTAATTTGAACCAATTATTTCATAGAACAAACGTAGGATCAAAAATGTAAGATTGAGTTGAGTCCACAATTATTTCTTGTAAGTTAAACTAATGTACCTATTAAATGTTGTATTTTTTACACAATCACAATAATCCATTTATATTATTTGTATATATTTATTAGATGTATAGAATCATACTAGGTATATGGAATTCGACTAAAAAAAAAAATATCGAATTTTTTCACTCAAGATAATATATTATGATGTTGGCGCTGTAATAAATAGTAAAAAGAAAACATAGTACCTATGCGAAATGTAATACATTTGTATTGTCTTTATTATTTAGATAAACATTGCTTACATAATTACATGGTGAGAAATTTGTTATTATAAAATATAATATAAATATAATGATTATTTTGAGTTTTAAATTTTGAGACAAGATTAATACAGTGATCAATTAATTGTACACGAATAATTAATTAATAATTAATATTTGATACTCAATAGTATTGGCTCTGTTTCCCGTGTTCATAAATAATAAGGCATTGAGAAAATATAACTTATTGAAAAGATTTTACAGTTAATTATTCATAATATTGTATACTATAATATACAATATTCAGAGCGTTCAGTCACAAACATAAAATAAACACATTTATGAGAATGTTAATCAATAACTGTCTTATTTTAAGAGGTAATAGCTAGTAATGCCTGAATAAATAGTGATTGACATTTTATTAGTGAACAGATTACTCAATTCCTTATTAATAGAGATCTTAAATTATAAGTTCAATAATTTAAACTTTATAACTTTGAAACGTAAGCGTATAGAGAGTTATTAAAGGTGGACGAACCCTCATGAATTCTATGATATAAAATATATTATAATTGCCGTTAAATTTAAAAAAAGTACTTATAGACTATAGACCACTATCCTGGGTAGAGTAGATCGAAATAAGTATCTGTTCGAGTACGCTGTAGCCATTCTGGTTTTTAAGAAGTATGCAAAACTGAGTTGACTTAAAAATCTTATTTGATTAAATGTAATTTTTAAATATATTCAAACAAATATATTTACATTGTTAGGTTAGGTTGGATTAGGTTAGCGTTGATAATTTAAGTTTTGGGTTAAATTGTATATAATGTTTAATCATTCATAATATTCATAATATTATAACTTAGAAGAAGTTTAAAATTATTAATATTAATACCAAAACCAAAATGTTGAATAAATGACAGTATATAAATATTTATTTTCCTTAGTAAATTACTAAAGAATAAATTATTCACTAACGTCTAACGACCAAAAAACTATTTTAAAGATACATTTAGATAGTTTATAGTTAATGGTAGTAACTGATAAATTATAACCATTTAATATTTTTTCTGGTTATTTTATACATTTCATAACATAAAAAAAAAAAAAAATGTTTTTCACATTTGCAATTATTTTTCTGTCGAATACCTATATAATTTTTAATTGTTTTAAAGTTAGTACAATTTTTAAAAACTTAAAATTGAGTACGGATCTTCTGTCAAACATTTGGAATCGGTATATATTTGTTTTAAAATTGTATATCCTATAATATGTCTTATAATAATACCTATAAAATAACTTTTTATATATGGAATAAGTAATAACTAGTATTTAAATTCTTAAAGTTGGTTTTAAAAGTAAAATAATTAATACTCTTCAGTTTTCAAAGTAATTTAGCCAAGCCCATCCTCTAATCTTAAGTGCAGCATAGTTACCACCTATATTAACTATGAACCAGGGCATCTTCGTCTTCAGGTTATTTCCACGGGGTGGAGGGGGAGGTTGTGAAAACATTTTAGTCTTGAATATCGTTTTGTTAAACAAAAACTTAACATCTATATGCTTGATGTTTGTATCAACGGTCTATATCAGTATACAAACAATAAACAAAATGTATAAAATGTATTTATCTAAAAACAAAACATTCCATGACCCTTGGAGGGGCGGTCGCTCCCTTAGCCCCCTCAGGGACGCCACTGGTATGAACTGGTTTTAGAGAGTATACCGATGGCGTAGCGCACAAGTGTGATAAGTGACATTTTCGTAATTGTTCAGGAGAACGATTTTTAAGTTTGAGATGTTATAACAAATTCAAAAATGTAACGAACTGTACAACATCTATCGGAGTAAATAATGAACTATTCACTTACAACGTTTGGGCATAATGTGCAGAATTGTATGATTAAATTGATTATGCACTTAACTCATTTTTCAAAAAAATGTCACTTATCACACTTGTGCGCTACGCCATCGATACAATATATTATGTACTATCCAAAACCGTTGTAATTTAATTTTAGCCAAAGAGCCTCCTGATTTACATTTCTCCTATCGATCTATATTAACATCAATGTGATCGGGGGGGGGGAGGATTCGATCCAACACAACTAAAAAAGGAGGGGACTTGATGGAATTTTGGAGGGCCCAAGGGTCATTTCCAAGTCAAGTTTAGTTCTTAATTTTAAAGTATTGCAAATATTAATGCAGGAGTCCGACAAGGTGGCATTCTATCACCAATCCTATTTCATATATATGCCTCTAACCAACCTACCTTTTTTGGAGTATCTGAAGCTTAGTTTGCGGATGATATGACAATTATATCAATACACCAAGACCCACTTACTGCTACAGTAATTCTTCAAAATCACCTTGTCCTAATGTCTAACTGGTACGATAAAAGTTAAAGTAAATCAAATAAAATCCCATTACACTACCTTCACTCTTCACCTTACTCCCGGTCCTGAAAGAGCTGGTATCCTTATCCTATTTTCCCATTAGGTTAAGTATCTAGGGTTAACCTTTGATCAGCGTCTCGCCTGGTCACCGCACATAAGGAAAAAAACACACACAGATTGTATATTTATTATTTCTAATAAAAAAAGTTTCTAGCATTGGACACATCTATGAAATACTGTATTTGCATCACTCGAAAATCTTTTTTCGACCGCTTCATTGTGAAAGAGATACTCAGAAATTTGTAAATAGTTGAACAATTT